TTAAAGAATACTGTTATTTCAGCAAATAGATGAAATAACAGTATTCTTTAATCTTGTATGATGTCTGTACCAGTATGTACCTGGATAAGTTTCATAAGTGGACAAATGCAGAAAGCAGGTGTGTATATGAAAATTATTAGAAGGAAATAGATAATATAAAATGAGTAAAGTCATTGGGTTGACCATTCTAATTGATGCTTACAAATCTAAAGATGAAAATGTTTTATAATTACAGAGCAAAAAAGATCTTTCTCTTGTCAACAAAGTAGGAGCTATCAGAATTTTATATATTCAACTATTGCATTCTCACAATGCAAGGGCAATAATAAGTAAGAACCTACTGGCGGAAGAGAGAAGGGTGCCCACAGTTGTTGCCTAGAATAGCTATTAACCCAGAATGTTGTATCTCTTCAACATAGTAGATGCAGTTTCCCTCACAACTTAGAATTTGAAATTAGATTGCAATATGCCAAGGACTCCTACTCTTTGTAGTGTTTTTTTGTTTTTTGGTTTTTTTTCCAGTGAACTTAAGCACAGAACCTCTCTTTAAAATACCATTTAGCTGGAAGCAGCTAATGTACGTGGTAAACACTAAGATTGCTAGGCTCGGCTGGCGCTGTTTATGTGAAGCCTTCTCCTTTCTCTGTGTTCCCATAGCACCTCTGTGCTATGCGTGGAAGTGCACATTGTGCTTCAGGTGTTAAAGTACAGCCTCAGTGTTTGTCTGAAGTTTGGGGAGCATTAGGTCAGCATCTCTTCGTGTCATAATTATATTATTTATGTAAAGTGCTTATTTGTTTAGCCTATCTCAAAAGGAGGGAAAATTTTTCTCCTGTTAAAAATCCAAACAAAACTTTCTCCACACTGTAAAGTCAAACTAACCAAGCAAACAAATTGTCAGTTTTATTATGCGACTCTTAATTAACAAGGTCTTTATAGAAGAAAAATACTAAATGCTCACCACTGATAGTCAAGCAGCCTTGTAATGATGGATTTGCATTGTGGTCTTCAGAGGAATTTAAATCGTTACCTCAGTAAGTTTGATGGCCTTAAATCACTATCTAGGCTAGAGGGAATTGCAGGTTTGGTGATTGACACCATGCTAACTTCTAAAGAAATCCTAAATTCTTATCTTCTATTATATTGTCGACATTCACTGTGATGTGTATTAGACTCATGTCCAGAGTAATACTGTTTTTGCCATTTGTTTTGATAACTTATGGTGTAGCATAAGTGTTTTTTTGTTCATGACTTTGTAAGATGTCCTAAGAGCCTGTTTGTCACAAAATGCCTTTGCTTCTTACTCCAACTCCCTCTTGAACACTGTGGTTTAGTGGCACCGGGAGCCGGCCTTCATGGAATCCACCTCTGTTATGATGACGGCATGGTGCCTGAGTATATCAAGCTTGTCGTGTATTTCTTAGTGCAAAGCAGCACCGTCAGACAATGTGAAATAGAATATGTACATTTTGGTGGGGGCAGAGTTAGGACATTTGGCAGTGGTGAAGGAGAATGAGGAGGAGTGCTAAAGGAGCTCCTTGACACACACCTGAGAGAACTTTCTCCTGCGACCTGATCTCACAGTTTGTTCCTCCTCAAGCAGGAAGTCAGTATATTCCCAGGGCTCTGCCCCCACACTCCCCACACACATTCCCTTTCACCTTGTTTGCTAGCTTGGTTTGGGTTTTTTATTTTTTATAGGAAAATGGGGTAAGTTCTTAATGAATGCTCATAATATTGAGCAAAAATATAATGGATTATTCATTTTAGAAAGTGATTCCTGTTTTCTTTTTTAAAAATCAACTATTGAGGTGTAATTTACATACAATAAAATACAGCTGAGAAACTTCTCAGGTAGCATCCCAAACAGACTACTCGTTTTTTTAATATAAGGTAAATATTAATATACTGGAAAAGTAACACTTTGGGAAGGGTGAGAAGGGCCCTCAGGTAGTAAGTAAAAGGATGGGCAAGCTGCCTGGTGCCGTTTAAGTAGAAGAGTGTGAATCTAACGACTTTCACTTTAATAGGGAAGCATATTTAACTTAATATGTTTGTAGTAAATACACAGAATTGAATTATTATTATGATGATGATGTTATAGAATGCTTCACGGATCTGAATGTCATCCTTGCACAAGGGGCCATGCTCATCTGTGTAAAACGGATGTTGAGTTATATTTTAAAAATTGGCGTTTAGGAGTTCCTATGATCTCTCCCTTAACTGTTTTTAAAATGTTGGGGCACACAATAAAATTCACCCTTTTCAGTGTACAGTTCAATGCATTTAGATAAATGTGTACATAGTGTAGTGAGCACCAGGATCTAGAGGAAGAATGTTTCCCTCACTCCAGAAAGGTTTCTTTAGCCTTTGTGTCATCAGTTCCCTCGTCCTGCCTCTGCCCCTGAAACCGCTAATCTGTTTCTGTCCCTAGAGTTTTTAGTAATTGGCATGTCAAGAAAATGGAATCATATAGCAGGTAGTGCTTTATGTCTAGTTTCTTTCACACAGCAGAATGCTTTTGAGATCCATCCAAGTTGTTGGGTGTGTCACTGGTTTATTCCTTGTCGTCGCTCAGTAGTGTTCCATTGTGTGAATATAGCACAATGTCTTTATCCATTCGCCAGCTGGTGGACATTTGGGTTGTTTCCAGTTTGGGGCTATTAAGAATAAAGTGGCGGGGGACGTTCATGTACAAGTCCATGTGGATGCATGCATTCCTTTCTCGTGGGTGAAACCCCGCCCAGGGGTGGAATTGCTGGGTCGTAGAGTCATCTGTGTTTGACACCATGAGAAACTGGCAAACTGGCTGTACCGTTTTGCCTTCTCACCAGGGTTGTCTGATAGTTCTAGTTGTTCTGTATCTTTGCTAGTCTTTCTTAAAATGTGTAGCCACTCTCGTGGTTATATAGTGGTGTCTCATCGTGGCTGTTTTTACTTAGATTTCCCTAATAACTAATGATACTGTACATCTTTTCTTTTCATATACTTATTGGCCATTCACATATCTTTTGTGATGAAGTGTCTATTCAAATCACTTACCCAGTTTTCTTCTCGGGTTGTTTGTCCTACTATTGAAATATAAGAGTTCTTTGTATATTCTGGCAACAAACCTTTCATCACATGTGTTTCGCAAATATTATCTCCCAGTTTGTGGCTTCTCTTCATTTTCTTCATGGTATCTTTTGAAGAGTAAAAGTTTTAAATTTTGATGAAATCCAGTTTGCCAGTTTTTTGTTTTATGGTTCACGCTTTTTGCATTCTGTCTAGGAAATCCTTGTCTAATTTAAGGTCATAAAGATTTTCTCCTGTTTTCTTTGAGAAGTTTTATAGTTTTAGCCCATATATTTAGGTACGTGATCTGCTTTAAGTTTTATATGTAGTGTAAGGTAAAAGTCTAGGTTCCTTTAATTTTTTCTTCCATTTTGCATATTTTTCAAGCACCATTTATTGAAAAGACTGTCCTTTCCCTATTAAATTACCTTGACACCTTTGTTGAAATGAATTAACTTACATACATGATCAATTCCTGGACCCTCTTCTGCTTCACTAATCTGTATCTCTGTCCTCACACCAATACCACACTGTCCTAGTAAATTTATAGCTTTTTGAAATCAAGTAGTGTGATTCCCCTAGCCCTGGTCTTCTTTCTCAGAATTGTTGTGATTATTCTAAGTCCTTTTCCATTTCCCAATAAACTTGAGACAGCTTGTCAGTTTCCTCAAGGGAAGCCCTCCAATCCCTTGACTCTTCATATGAAGAATAATAGTGGTGTGTTTACTGGTGTCAGCCCTTAGCAGTCCTGGAATACACCATTCTTGATCATTATGTTTGTTTTGTAAAATGTTTAATATGGCCCTATATATATGTATTTTTATTTATTTATCTATATATTTTTTGAGACGGAGTCTCACTCTGTTGCCAGGCTGGAGTGCAGTGGTGCGATCTCGGCTCACTGCAACCTCCACCTCCCGGGTTCAAGCGATTCTCCTTATATATATTTTTATAAGTAAGATATAACCATACCATATTTGCTTTTATTTTGCTTTGAGATAGAGTCTCACTCTGTCACCCAGGCCGGAGTACAGTGGCACAATCTCAGCTCACTGCAACCTCTGCCTCCTGGGTTCAAGTGATTCTCCAGCCTCCGCCTCCCAAGCAGCTGGGATTATAGGCATGCACCGCCATGCCCAGCTAATTTTTTTTGTATTTTTAGTAGAGACGGGGTTTCACCGTATTGGCCGGGCTGGTCTCGAACTCCTGACCTTAGGAGATCCACCCGCCTTGGCCTCCCAAAGGGCTGAGATTATAGGTGTGAGCCACCACACCCAGCTTGCTTTCCTTTCCTTGTAATATCTTTACCAGATTGGGTACTCAGTGTTATGACAAACTTTATAAAATGAATGATGAAATAGTAACTATTTTTCTGTTTCCCTAAAACGGTTATATATAGTAAAGAAATCAAATATTCCTTAGAAATTTGTAAAATTGTTTCATAAGACTAATCCAGCATTTTTAAAGAAGTAATTGTTTTATTATTTTTTATTTTTATGGGTTAAATTTTCTGTTTTGTTTTTGTTTTTGTTTTTCTTGAATGGATTTCTATTTTTCTAGGAAATCATCTATATTATTCAGATTTTTAAATCTACCATTACAGTGCTGGATAGAGTGGTCCTTTAAAACTATTAAAATCTCTCCCATTTCAGATTATTCAGAAGAGCTTTTAAAAACTCCTGAATGACTGGGATCTCACTACTTTCCTTTTGTTAATAATTTCAAATTTTATTATGTAATAGTCCAGGAAAGTAGCCTTTTCTACTACTACTTTTTTAAATGTATCACAGCCTGTTTTCTTCTTTTTTCTTTTTGTTTGAGGCAATATATAAGATCCATTGTTGTAACTAATTCATAGATGCTTGTTGTCTTCTTAGTTTATTATAGTGTTCATATCCAGCATGTACTTATTTATTTTCAATTTTCTCTTTTTAATTTATTTTTAGGGCAAATTTATTCGGATCAACTTTGATGTAACTGGCTATATTGTTGGGGCCAACATTGAAACATGTATCCTTTTTCGTAAATGTTTAACCCAAAATAAAGAATGATTGAGTCTTCTTACAACCCCATGGCAACCTTCTGTGATATCACTCCCAGTATCCAGATGATAGAACTTGAGCCCGGAGATAGCATGCCTTGTTCAAATACTTTCGACTACTGAATGTTAACTCCGAAGTGTTTTGTTGTTTGTAACACCAGGCCATAACCTATTCACATGGCTGGGGAAGTGGAGAGTGCCACAGTGTTTGTGTGGTATAGGACATTCAGATGAACGCAGCTGCCCTCCCCCTGTTGCTGTTAGCCCACTTTTTACCATGTATTTCTGATATTAGAAGGATGAACATGTACTCATTGAAATAATCCTTACAAGATTACAGAGTTAAAGTAGTCTCAGTTAGTGTTAAGTAGAATAAAGCTGGAGAAAAAAATAAAATGTCAAATACACAGAATAGTCCTAAGAAATGTCACCTGCATAGAATGGCCATAAGAAGATTTATATATGTGTATGCACATACATACCTAGATAAAACACATTTGATTGGAGATGTAAGAAAATAGAAATGATTCTGAGTGATAGTGTGCCAATTAGAAGGATATATAGATGACAATTTTCGGGTACTTGTTAGAATAATCTCCAGTGACAGAAATACATTGTTTCTATCCTTCGAGGGATAGACCATGATTTTCTGGTTAAGAACAGTATTTTATGCTTCTAGATAGACTCACAGCCAGCAAAATCTGGAAATACTTGAAAATGACAGGAGAATGAATCTGCAGTTGAGCTTTCTTCATACAGGTGTGTCAGAGCATGATTCATATGAGTGTGTCTTTCAGCAGACATGGAGGATGTGTGGGATAGTCTGACTTAAAATTCAGGCTATCTGGCACATACAGAATTAATTCACTTTGGTGGCCCCAGAGAAGGTTTACCTCAAGAGAGGCAATCATCTTCCAAAGCTGTAATACACATTCTCTGAGATGCCAGTGTGACTGTCAACCCATACGCACTCCTGGAGCATCAAGAACTGTGGATCTGAGCCCCAGATAAGATACCCAGCTGGGCGTGCAGTGGTGTGAAACAACACAGGAGCTGCTGGGGACTGTGCCACCTGCCCCGTGGGAAGCCCAGGCAGGGTGGGTAGCAGCAGGTGTAGTTACTGGCCGCACTGGTTCTCCAGAGCAGCAGAGGGAAGACTAGTGCTTAATCTCGTCATAGCTGTCAAGGCATTTGGGAAAGTTACATGCGCTGCTGAGTGTGAAGGGGCGAGTACCCCTCATGTAGGAGGCTTTCAATAGGGTAGCGTTGTGGGCGCTGTCAGCATGCATTTTGGAGTCAAGCCAAATTTTTTATTCCTAACTGTACCGCTTATTAGCTATATTATTTTGACGAATTTCCTTGTACCATGGCTTCCTTATTTATAAAACTGTGTTAATCTGGTATTATAGAGTTTCTCCCGCCTTAAACAACTGTACTTCATTTTTAATAGCTTCTTATAGTTCCTCGTATAGTGTAGTATTCTTTTGAATGTAATCCAAGTTAGAGGAAGGATGGGGTAGAGTGGAGCTGAGTGAGGGAAGCACGTATAATCTTTAAGTTCCTTCCCAGACCAGTGATTCTGGAAGATCAGTGAGGAACGTAAGTTGCATCTATTCTCTTTTTTCACAGATGGAGGACAGTCATTTAGAATAGTTCATTGCAGGATACTTTATATATATCAGAGAAAGAAGATGTTTTATGATTTAAATTTACAGACACTGAAAGAGGGCCTTTATTTAAGAATTATATTCAATCATTTAATTCTTAACCGTCTTTGCTCAGACCTTCTGGAAAAGTCTCGTGCTGTTCGTCAAGCTAAAGATGAACGTACTTTTCATATCTTTTACCAGTTGTTATCTGGAGCAGGAGAACACCTAAAGTGTAAGTTACAAAGGTTTTTACTATTTTATATTCACTGGAATATCTCTTTTAATATTTTTTTGAGAAAAAACAATTTTGGGAAACAGTTTTTTACACACAAAACACCAAATTTCCAGCTGGTTAAAACATGAAAATCAAAATGAAATTGAACTTCCATGCCATGGGGTAAGTACTTTATTTTAAGCAGCAGATATTGTAGATAATATAATCTTTGGTACTTTTATTTCTTTTTAAAAAATTTTAAATTAGAAGATAAATGATGCATATTTTACAACTCTTTCAACATTTTAAAATATGAAAGTAAGGGAAAAGAAATTTATCTAATAAAATTAAGTAGAATATATATTTTTATTTCTAAATTTACAACTGAATATATGTTATTGCTGCCACGAGTACTAGAAAGAACCTGTGGTGGATATTGATTGATTGATTGAATGTCATGAATCACAAGGACCAGAAGTTTAGAGTTGGGCAGGTACAAAGGAGAGCTCAGGTCTGGGTCAGAATTTTGCTGGGTTAGAAATATATGAGAGAGAGGAGAAGATGCATAACTTTCCCATCTCTTCTGATTCTCAAATTTAGTGTTTCTGCATGATTATTATATATATTATCTAGATATCAAAATAGACACATATATAGTAAAAACTTTTCTCATCTGGTGTCTAGGCTTTTGCTAACCACAGACATCTGTGAAACTTTTGAACCCAAAAATTAATCAGAGAAAGACCTGCAAGGGAAAAACCAAGCAACAAAAAAAATAGAGTTATTGCCAAGGAGAGACTAAAAATTCAAGATTATGCGATATGTAACACTGAAGAGAAGAAAATGCTCAGGCTTTTAGACTGGCAATAACTGCAATAGGAATAAATTCTTTAAAATGATCCAAGTGTTGAAAGAAATAGAAAAAGATAGCTGCAGGCAGTACCCTGTAGAAGTGAAATGTGATGTAGACAAGAATCAGGGGACAGGGTGACCTGCAGAAATTCTCTGCAGGAGGGCGAGAGAGCCAGTCACAAAGAAAGCTGGGAGCACATTTGCATATCTGTTACATGGATAAATAGCCCTGCTCTTCTGAGCACTCCTGAGAAATATTCTTTGACTCTCAAGAATGCATTTGTCAAGAGAGTAAGTTCTCTTTAATCAGTGGCTCCTACAGTACAAGTAGTCAGTGTGGGTACCTGTTATGATAGTCTGCTGCACCACATCACATCATCATTCTAAAGGCAAGTTAACCACCATGCAAGCAGGCTTGGGGAAAGGGTTTCAGGGCCTTTGCTGGGCTTGGGACTTGCTTGATCCACGGCACTGTATCTTTAGCTTATGTCCATGGTAGTTTTCATATTCACTTCATAGTGTTTGCTGCAAACTACTTGCTAAGATAGGAATATAGAATATGGGTTTAAAAGCTTTCCTTCAAAAAAGAGGGCTAAAATATTTAAATCTGAAAACAATAAAGTTTTATCATCTGGAAAATTGACATCATTTCCCAGATAACCGATTTCAAACAGAATATTGTACAAACTGCCATCCCCAAAACTCCTGTTAAGGTTTTTGCATCGTTAACATCATCATTTTCCTTCGTTGGTACAGATAACAAAAACATGTATGTTTGCGTATTTACATGAATATATAAAGAAAAAAAAAAGCAACATTTTGCTGGCAATGGGTTGCATGGTGACCACTGTTCTCCTGTAACGGCACAGTTTGAATGCAGGTGTGGCTTAGTTGTCTTCATGAGTATTTATTAAATTTTCTTCCATTATATTTCCTTTTAGCTGATTTGCTTCTCGAAGGATTTAATAACTACAGGTTTCTCTCCAATGGCTATATTCCTATTCCGGGACAGCAAGACAAAGATAACTTCCAGGAGACCATGGAAGCAATGCACATCATGGGCTTCTCTCATGAAGAGATTCTGTGTACGTGTGATTTCTCTGAGATTCTCATACTCACTTTCCTAAGACTTACACATTTGGGGTAAATCACCTAAACTAGAAAATGATTGGGAAAGTAATGAATTGTATGAAATCCTGAAAAGACATGTCTTCCTGAAAAGTTTTGTATAGCTAATTTTTAGCACAAAATAAATGAGAATATGTCTCCGCTACATTTTGAGGCAATATTAATTTTTTTTTTCTTTCTATCAACGTGAAGCAATGCTTAAAGTAGTATCTTCAGTGCTACAGTTTGGAAATATTTCTTTCAAAAAGGAGAGAAATACTGATCAAGCTTCCATGCCAGAAAATACAGGTAAACTGATGAATACTGACTTTATTTCTATTTCAGTGGCTTGTTGTGCTCTCCAAGAACGTGTTACAATGCAAGCATAAAAGCACCTCTGAAGCATTTCTGAAGGGACCCTCAAGAGTAGAGTGACAACCTCGTGTGCTTACACGAGGGTCCCCCTGATTCTCTAAATGAGGACAGGGGACAGGGCGTAGGATGAAAAGTAGCAGCAGTCTCTGCCTTAGCATGGAGGAGGCCTTGGGAATTGAGGGAGGAGAATTCAGCCGCAGGAGGCCACACGCTTGCCTGAGAGGGAGCTGCAGCTGCTGAGTTCCAGCCAGTGTGCAGCTTGCCAGGATTATAGGCCCAGTGTTGCCAAATATAAGTGACTTTTCAAAGAAAAAATGGAAATCTAGGTTTTAAAGGAAATGTTCTCATTTTTGAATGTTGAAAATGGTTTTAAATTTGCATTGGTCAGAAACAAAAGTTTGTGACCCAAATATATTTTTATATATTTATTAAATATATATTTAATATAAAGTATAAATATATAAATATATTTAAATTATGTATTTATTATATATATAATATATATTAAAAATATATATATCAGTTTGCTTCAGATGGTCTGGAGAGAAAAAGAAAAGTGAGGATCTCTATATTGCCTTGACTACTTGATTATTCCAACAAGTTAGTTATCTTGCCTCATGGAGGCATCCACAATCCCCTGTGGCAGGTGAAGGCTGACATAAAGTCACATTATCTGCCCTTGAAATATCCTTTTTTGTAACCAATTTGAGGCTTGATAACAATTTAATTCTGTGTGGCTCTTCTAAGGGGCCACTCCTGCTGCTTCTTGGTCATCATTTCCTGGCCAAACTGTGACACCTTCTCTTAGGGCTGTTGATTTCCAGGACCATTCATCTGTCATTCAATCAAAGTAGTTTGATTGGCAGCTGGGCCTCCATCCTCCATATGGCTTTTCCATGGTTAAATAGACTAAAAATGGAGCCATCTAAAATGCAGAGTAAGGCACATATTAGTATCGCTTGGCTTTGAAATTTTTAAATGACCCATAACTAGAAGAGGATCAGGTCACGTCACTCTTGTAAAGGCAGGGAGGCTGGGCATGGTGGCCATGTAGTCCAGCTACTCAGGAGGCTGAAGCAGGAGGATGGCTTGAGCCCAGGAGTTCTAGGCCGTCATGTGCTATGCATATCGGTTGTCTACACTGTGTTCAGCATCAGTATGGTTGCCTCCCAGCAGGACCACTAGGTTGCCTAAGGAGGAGTGAACCAGCCCAAGTTGAAAATGGAGCAGATCAAAACTCCCATGAGATCACGCCTGTGAATAGCCACTACACTCCATCCTGGCCAACATAGTGAGAACCTGCATCTAAAAAAATGAAAAAATAGGCAAGGCAGTCAAATGCTGACTAGCCGTCTCTTGTAGCCTAAAAATGAGTGTGCATTAATTTGAAGGGATGGAAGATACTTTTCATTAGACCTAAAACTTGTCTGATTTTAAGACTTTTATTTATTAATACAATTTAATTATTACTAAGGTTTTTCAAGTGTTTATTGAATATATTGTGAGTAGATTATAAGTAAAAAATGTAGGATTTAGGAGACTTTTTGCACTTCAGTTGCACAGAAACTCTGCCATCTTCTTGGGATGAATGTGATGGAGTTTACTCGGGCCATCCTGACTCCCCGGATCAAGGTCGGCCGAGACTATGTGCAAAAAGCCCAGACCAAAGAGCAAGTAGGTTTCATGTTCATTCTTATTACTGATTTGTTTGAATGGTAAGCCATGGCCATTTGGCCTTCTGATTGACATGTAACAAACTGAATCGATACAAACTGTCTTACATGGGTGTTTTTAGATACTAACTGAGTGGTTTTTTTAGTATATTTACTTTTTCATTTTCAAAAACATTTAAAAGGGGCTGGGCGCCGTGGCTCACACCTGTAATCCCAGCACTTTGGGAGGCTGAGGTGGGTGGATCCCCTGAGGTCGGGAGTTTGAGACCAGCGTGACCAATACGGTGAAACCCTGTCTCTACTAAAAATACAAAAATTAGCTGGGTGTGGTGGCATGCACCTGTAGTCCCAGCGACTCAGGAGGCTGAGACAGGAGAATTGCTTGAACCCAGGAGGTGGAGGTTGGAGTGAGCCGATATTGCACCATGCACTCCAGCCTGGGCAACAGAACGAGAGTCTGTATCAAAAAAAAAAAAAATTTTTTAAGGTGATTTAAAATTTTTTTAAATTTTTTTTTAAAAAAGTAAATGTCAAATTATAATTTCCAGTTTTCCCCAGCTAGATAGATAATCCAGTAGACAAATCTGCATACTTTGGGAACCAGGCCAGCAGAAGGGCCCCTGCCACCTTGTCCCTGTGCTGGGCGGTACAGCAGAGAGAAAGTGCCAGCTGACTGAGCTGACTCAGGGCGGACAGTGCTGCCCAGAACCCAGGCGCGTGGGGAGGAGCGTATTTGTATTAGGCATCTTTACCCATCCCCCAAATTATTATTCCCAGTGTTCATTTAATTGTACTAATATTGCCTTCTATTGATGTGTAAAACTGAGATATGATTAAGTAGTGACTGCTATCTCAACTTTTTCGAGTGCTGTATAACACTAAATTCCATAAAACAGCTATTTATGCTTTGTTGAGATGGTTTCCAGAATGAAAGGCTGTTGTGATTTAATTGCAGGCAGATTTTGCAGTAGAAGCATTGGCAAAGGCTACCTACGAGCGGCTCTTTCGCTGGCTTGTTCATCGCATCAATAAAGCTCTGGACAGGACCAAACGTCAGGGAGCATCTTTCATTGGAATCCTGGATATTGCTGGATTTGAAATTTTTGAGGTATTCTTTCCCCTCTTCCTCTTTCTCTTCCTTGTTTTTATTTGTTCTTTTAACAAATATTAAAGCTCACCATGTGCCCAGCACATACCAGGCACTGGGGATATAGTCCCTGCCATTCTTGTAGAGTCAAACAATAAGTGGCATATAACCAGTGAATCCACAGGTCTGTGAGAATGCAGAAAGGGTGCTGTGATAGAACTGGAGGCCAGCTTGAGACAGCTGTTCAGGGAAGGTGCCTCTGCAGCGGCAACAGTTAGGCTTACTTGAAGGATGAGACGCTGCCAGCCTTGGTCAGTTTCCCAGCATAATGAGAGCAATTCCAGTGGTCTTGTATGGGACAGAACTTATCAAATGTTCAAAGCTGCTAGAAAGCCAGTGTGACTGGATACAGCTGACCAGAGGGAGAGAGGAGTTGGAGACGTGGAGTAAAGTGTGGGGCCAAGTCGAGAGGCCGTCAAGGGGGCCACTGTAGTGGAACACGATCACGATGACGGGGGCTTGGTTGGGGAATCAGGAGAGGAGCAAAGTGAGAGGGAGGTGCCTGGACAGCAGTGATCTGTGTACTGCAGATATAACCAGTGTTTAACAATAGATTTCACTGTTGATCTGACTAGATTTGTCCAAACACTTACTCATCATCAATGCAGAAAAGGTTCACAGTCACACACCTGCTACAGTTTTGCAGGGAAGTGCATAAAATATTGGGCATCTAAAAATTTATATCTTTATTTCCATAAATATAGATGTAAACCATGTAAATATAGTAAGGCACAAATATGAAATGCTTTTTGTGATCATCCGTGTGTTAACTTTAGTCACTATTGGGTATTGAATTGTCTTATTTTAAAATGAACCCCTTTAAAATTATAAGTCTATCCTCATAAATAGTGAACCTGCCACTGCTACTCTAAGAGATTGCTTTAATGTGTATTGATTTGTAAATAAATTGAGAAATCACGAAAAGTGGCTGGGTACAAATTGCATTAAAAAAATCTGTCACTTTCCTCTACATAAATGATCAGAAGATATAGTGAAAAAAAAGATCCTCATTTCCAGCTGCAACAAAAACAGACAAAACACCTAAAAATAAATTTTAAAAGAAATGGGCAAGATTTAAATGAAGGCAACATTACAGTGCTGTTACAAAAAAGAAGACTTGAACAAGTAAAGAGACATACCCTGTTCTCGATGGGAAAATGTTACATTTATGTAGATGGTAAAAATGCTAAGTTGTTCAGTGAGTGTTATTTGTCATGAGAAAAGAAAAGAAAAAGCCTAAATGTCCACCTTTAGGAAATTGGTTCAAATTGTTATGTTACCTCTATACAATGGAATACTATGCATCCATTGTAAAGAATGGGCTGGCTTTATATTCTAAGGAAAGATCCCACAACGTAACAAGATACATTGTTAAGTTAAAAAAAAAAAAAGCTAGGTTCACACACATACACACATTTGAGTGCATAGAATATTTCTGGAAGAATCACAAAAATAGGAGATACTGGTTGATTATAGGGAGAACAAATAAGTTTCATTGAAGTGAAACTGACTGGTGCAATTCTGTGTACATTTTGAATTTTATACCATGCATTATTGATTTAAAAATCAATTAAAATTATAATTGGTAGTTTAAATATGGAAGACAAGTAGAAATTCATTTTTAAAAACACCATTCTTGGCCAGGCGTGGTGGCTCACACCTGTAATCCCAGCACTTTGGGAGGCCGAGGCGGGTGGATCATGAGGTCAGGAGTTCAAGACCAGCCTGTCCAAGATGGTGAAACCCCATCTCTACTAAAAATACGAAAATTAGCTGGGCGTGGTGGCGGACGCCTGTAATCTCAGCTACTCCAGAGGCTGAGGCAGAGAATTGCTTGAACCTGGGAGGCAGAGGTTGCAGTGAGCCGAGGTTGCGCCACTGTACTCCAGCCTGGGCGACAGAGCAAGACTCCTTAAAAAAAAAAAAAAAAAACCACCATTCTTTGTCATAGCCCAGGCTAAACAGAGCAATAGGATGTCATCATCCTGAGGCAAAGCAAAGTTCACCTACATGAACAGGAATAAGCAGAATCCGGCAGTCTGTAAATATGAGGCTTGTCCTGTGTGCTAGAAATACAGTGTTGAGCAAGGCAAGCACTGCCCCTGCCCTCCTTACGTGACCTCATTCTGAAATAGTGAATTTAACAGCTCCTGGAGAATGGGAAAGATTGGAGTGGCTTTTTCAGACTCTAAATCAACTCCTTGGAGATGGATTAAATCCTCTTTAATTGAAAATCACTTTTTATAATGAAAGAGGTTATTTATGGGCACATGCAGCTTGTGTGAACAGTATAGAAGCAGGAAAGAGGTTGAGCACTTCTAGTGTATAGGATTAAGAAAATTATACCTATTAATTCACCCATCTATCCATTCACCCAATCAATTTTTCTCTTAAAAAATGGGCAGAGTTCACAGAGAAGGAACAGAAATGACAATAACATGAAAAACGCCCAAATTCACTTTATGAGGGCAGTGCAATATCACTTTTGATATTGCAAAGGTCACATATTTGATAAGGGAAGGGAATGCTTAGAGAAGCAATGCAGAGCCTCATACTAAGCGCATTCCGTGTGCCAGGCCCCGCTGAGCTCCAACAACAATTTCGTGCAGTAAAGATGATTCCTTTCCTACCTTACCTTGGAGCCCGCAGCCTGAGTGCCAGTGGAGTGGGACAGAACCAGATGCATTCTCCGCCCCAGCTTAGATGCACGCCCACCACCTCGCTCACCTCCCTTTGCCTCTGGTTTTTCCAAGCCTTTGTTTTTCTTCTTTTTCTTACTGTCTCGTTTATTTATTTATAGTCCTTAACCCATTCACTAATAAGAACTGAATTGTTTTACTTGCAGAGCATTCAGTTAGCATATTAAGTTTATTATCTTTTCATTTTAGCAGTTCAGTAATGCGGCCATAGACAGTATGTTCTTTCTCTTTACCTTTTCAAAAAGGCTGTGTGTGAGAGAGGGATTGGGAGACCACCCCACCTGGTTTAGTCACTGTCATTAGCTAGAAGCAATCATGTACTTCATACCTAATTAGTAATTTTTAATGAAAACATGTTTTATAACTACCTGACTAATTATTCCCATTTCCCCTCTGCCTCCCCGTGTTTGGAAAATTACTCTTTGACATTTGTAGCTGAACTCCTTTGAACAGCTTTGCATCAACTACACCAACGAGAAGCTGCAGCAGTTGTTCAACCACACCATGTTTATCCTGGAACAAGAGGAATACCAGCGCGAAGGCATCGAGTGGAACTTCATCGATTTCGGGCTGGACCTGCAGCCGTGCATCGACCTGATAGAGAGGCCTGTAAGAGCGCTCTCTTGCTCGTTGTCTTTCATTTTCCATTCAAGCAGTGACCTTAAGTGGCATAACCCGAGACAGAAATTACCCAAGCTATTCAGTGGTGAAATACTTTTCTGATCTAAATTTTCCAGAAAGGTGATACTCTGATAAAATATCTACAGAATTTAAAAGTCAGTAGCATGCCAGTAAAATCCTTCTTTAGCTCTCCTCGCAGCTTGATTCCTGTCCTTGCTCGCATGGGTATACTGGATAGTGGGCTCCGCCCCGCACAGACTGCAGATGGCCCTGTGTGCTGGCATTTGCGTGTACCTCTCAAAGGATGTGGAGCTCCACCTGACAGTTTATTTAGCTGAGAATAAGATGTGTCATATAAATCCATTTTGCAGATAACTGAGGTTTGGCCTTTTAAAGTACGAAGAGGTTTTTATTTTGCCAGATTTTTTTTTTAATGTGAAGTTTTTGTTCTCAGGGAAGTCTTGTCAGATGTATTTTTAGTGGCAATCTTAGAAAGCATCAGAAACTCTTTTCTTGGTGGTTTAATGTTCTGTAAAAATACATAGAACTCATTCACGTTCAAGCTTTGAGTGTATAACTCATTCACTTTTGGAACTCGACTCCATGTGATCTCAAGCAAGTATTGACAATCTGGTTCTGTACTCCTTATTTAGCTTTTGCTCAACAAGGTATCAGCTTCATTTATTTTATTTTGCTATCTGCCAAAATATAAGAAAAACTAAAACATGATTAAGCACTGACATCTGAAGTGTAGAGAAAGCTCTAACACTAGTTAAGTAGGTATGTTTGAATAACTCAGAGTTTTCTCCCAGGAGGTACAGCAGGCTTCTGGTTCTTGCTGCTCAGTCTCTGGTTGCCACTTGTGTTCTTCATGTTTGAAGGTGTTGGAGGTCTCGTGGCTAGAGATCGTGGATGGCACAGCACCCACAGTCAGGAGGAGCAGTGGCACATCGGGAAGAGGAAGAACCTAGAAGGCATTCATCCATATTAGAGATGTAGTTCCAGCACATTAGAAATTTGAGTTTAAGGAAAGCAATGGATAATTTTCATTTGGCTTTTATAATACATAAGAAATCATTTTACCTTTCAAGGCACGTTTACAGCAAAAATCTTAAATGACCTATAGTTGTGAGGATAGTTGCTTCTTTGTAGCTTACAGGGTCATTTAGAGGTGGCATGCTTGTAGTGACTTCCAGGTAGGTAACTTGTGCATACACAAGCACATGAACACATTTCGTTACATTTCATCACTGCTTTGTTGCCTAAAGAATTGTTTGGGTATTTATGTAAATAAGAGAAGGGAGTATTTCACATTAATACTGTTGATGACTATAGGATATGTTTTTTGAGATGCTCATTGTATGCGTCCATATGACACTGGAAGTCCTACGTTTTAAGAATATAATGATTATGTATCTGCAGTTTTATTTTAGGATGGACGAGAACCCATAAAATTTGCTAGGTCAATATCTTTATAGGAATAATTGTGCCGAAAGTCTTCCAAATGGAAAATTACCTGTCTTATTTTTTAAAATGTTTTTAGAGTGTTTTAAAATCTAATGGTTTTGTGACCTTTAAATGAGTCTTACAAATATTAATTCTTAATGTTACTTAATTGCATTTCTTTTGCTTTATCCTCTAGGACAAAATACTTTACTATTTTTTAATATATTTTTTACTCTCACACAATAATTGTACTCTCAAGGTGAAAATGATGGGGTAATTAAACATTTCAACCCTAATAACTAACTCCAAGCAAAAACAGGTGAAGTAGAAGGCCAGGTGCGGTGGCTCCCGCCTGTAATCCCTTTGGGAGACTGGGGCAGGCAGATCACTTGAGGTCAGGAGTTCGAGACCAGCCTGGCCAACATGGTGAAACCTCATCTCTGCTAAAAATACAAAAAATTAGCTGGATGTGGTGGCATGTGCCTGTAGTCCCAGCTACTCGGGAGGCTGAGACACGAGAATCACTTAAACACAGGAGGCAGAGGTTGCAGTGAGCCGAGACTGCACCACTGCACTCCAGTCTAGGTGACAACGTGAGACCCTGTTCCCCCCAAAAAATAAGCGAAGTAGAAGGGGTTTGATGTTTACGTTTTTAATTATTTTCCAGGCCTTAAGTGTAAATATTGTTGTAGTAGAATAAGATCCAGATAGCAATTTATTGGACCAGGTGTGTGGCGGCTCATGCCTGTAATCCCAGTGCTTTGGAAAGCTGAGGTGAGAGGATCACTTAAGATCAGGAGTTTGAGACCAGCCTGGGCAACACAGTAAGACTACATCTCTACAAGAAAGTTTTAAAATTAGCCAGGCATGGTGTCATGTGCATGTACTACCAGCTACTCAGGAGGCTGAGGCAGGAGGATCCTTTGAGGCCCTGAGTTGGAGGCTACAGTGATATGGTCACACCACTTCATTCCAGCCTGAGTGACAGAGTGAAACCCCATCTCAAAAAAAAAGAAAAGAATTTATTAAATCCTCAGTTATGGCCTGGAAATGCAGATTGGGGGTGCCATGGGGATATGAGATAGTATATACCATGGCCTCGGTCCTCAAGAACCTGATCTTGAAACCAGAGAACAGAACACAACATAGTGGTGAGTTCATTGGTTCCTGGGTACGACTCTAAGTGATGCTGGGTGAATTCAGAAAAAGGCAAAGGCCACAAAGTAGGCTGGCCGTGTTGCGGAAGGTATTACAGGTGTAGATGCTGTGCAGGGAGCATTCCAGGGATGAGTTTTATGGTCAGAAATTAGCAGGCGAACGGCACATTGAAAGTGGTATTTTAGGGAAGTTATTTGGCAAGTGTCCTCGTCTGTTTTCTGTTACTATAACTGAATAACTAAGACGGAGTAATTTATAAACAAAAGAAATTGATTTCTCGTAGTCTGTAGGCTGGGAAGTCCCAGGTCTAGGGGCTGTATTGGATGAGGGTATTCTTGCTGGTGGGGACTCTCGGCAGAGTCCTGAGGTGGCACAGGGCATCACATGGCGAGGGGGGCTCCTAAGAAATGGCCAAACTGGCTTTTTATGACAGACCCGCTCTCATGATAACTAACCCACCTCCTCAACAACCCACTGATCCATGAATGAATTAATCCGTGTGCTAGGAAAGAGCCCCCCTGACCCAGTTACCTCCTAAGGCCTTCTCTCTCAACACTGCTGCATTAGGAATCAGGTTCCCAACATGTAAACTTTTGGGGAACACATTGAAACCACAGCAGCCGGGCATTCAGAAAGTATTGGAGCTGGGAAGTCATGATGTTCCTAGTCACCAGTTATGCCCAGACACTGACAGGCAATGAGAGAACTAGTTAACTCATTCCTTCTTTCCTTCCTATACTCTTTGTACTGGTACTTCTAGACTCTTCCTTAAGCCTTTAGAGTGGACCCTTTATTCCCTGCCTAAATAGTCCTAATTTAAAGGAGAGATTGCTCAGAAAGGGGAGGGAGGGAATTCAAGATTTAATGCTGACTCACTCTGTACCTCAATTTGAGGATTATTCTACTTATTCATAGAAATATAAAATCTGATTAAAAAATAAAAACATGGCCAGGCACAGTGGCTCACGCCTGTAATCCCAGCACTTTGGGAGGCTGAGGCAGGCAGATCACCTGAGATCAGGAGTTCGAGACCAGCGTGGCCAACATGGTGAAACTCCATCTCTACTAAAAATACAAAAAGCAATTAGCCAGGCATGGTGGCGGGTGTCTGTAATCCCAGCTACTCGGGAGGCTGCGGCAGGAGGATCGCTTGAAGCCAGGAGGTGGAGGTTGCAGCAAGCCAAGATCGCACGACTGCACTCCAGCCTGGGGGACAAGAGCGAGACTCCGTCTCAAAAAATAATAATAATAATAAATAAAAACATAACATTTTTAAAACTCCCATGAGAGTTTATGATGACGGGGAATTTAACGACAGCCTGTGGAATGACATGGGATAATGATCCCATTGATGTTCCTTGCAAAATGGAGAGTGAAAACAATACTTTCTAGAAGGAAAATGCCATAAAAACGTCCTCTGTGGTGGCACCTGACAGGCCCGTGCCAGGCTTACCTCATCTCACATAATCCCAACCCCTGCCTCGCAAGATTGTGGGCTGGTAGCAGGCAAACCTCTGAGTTCAAAAGCTCTCACAAAACCTATGACCAATATTCAGAAACATAGGCTTCTCAGCTTACAGCTCTTGGAAATACCCAGTTAAGAGAAGGAATGATAATAGAGATCTTGACATTGAAGGATGAAGTGGAAAAAATAAAAAGGAGACACAATAATGATATTCATAATCACGCTGTCACCAAATCATTTAGAAAAAAATGCAAATTTTATTTGAGAGACTGTCAGAATTTAGGAAAATTCTCATTAAAAGTGGCTAAGAATGTAAAAGGGTAAAAGGAAGATGTTTCTGTTATATTAACATTAATGTGGAACTTCATTTCTCACACTTGTTGTGTGATTGGGGTGGATTGAGTTACCTGCCACTCTGAGCTCCTCTAAAGTGACCTAATCCCAGTTGCCTCAGATTCCTGTCTTCTTTTAGCTGCTCTGAAGCCCTGACAATTCTTGCAGGCGGAGGAGTCCTGGAGTAAGGATCTCCATTGCAGAAGGGTCCCCTCAGCTTCCACCTGCGGGCATTCAGATCACCCATCCCTTTCTCTGACCACGTCATTACACTGTTTCATTTATATTGAACCATAGCCTCTAGCTACTTTTAAAAACAGCATTCGTGTGTATTGCCAACTCTTCACCAGTAAATATGAAGGCTTTAGGAGTTGAAGAGAACTGATCTTAGAGTTTTATTCAAAAAGCTGATTTCATGAGTGTGCCCTAGAACTGATACGAGTTCAGTTTTATATCACACACTTGCCATATTTGCAGTGTGGTAATAAATGATAACCCAGAAACACTAGAAAACAGACCATCACTACTTAAATATCTTATTTAGCTTTCATGTGTCATTTACCTCCAAAAAGGAAGTCACTCCAGACAATGTGAGCTCTAGGCCTTTTGAAAAATTGAGACATAATTCACAAACCATGAAATCTACCCTTTAAAACTACAATTCAGTGATGTTTGTAGTATATTCACAAAGTTGTGGAACTATTACCACTACCTAATCCTGCCACATTTTCATCACCCCCGAAAGAAACCTCTTACCCATTAGTGGTCACTCCACATTCTCTTCCGTCAACCTCCAACCACCACTAATCTACTCTCTGTCTCTATGGAGTCATCTAGCACTTTTTCTTTTCTTTTTTTTGTTTTGAGATGGAGTCTTGCTCTGTTGCCCAGGCTGGAATGCAGTGGCACCATCTTAGCTCACACTGCAACCTCCGCCTCCTAGGTTCAACCAATTCTCCTGCCTCACCCTCCTGAGCAGTTGGGACTGCAGGTGCGTGCCACCACACCCAGCTAATTTTTGTATTTTTAGTAAAGACGGGGTTTCGCCATATTGGCCAGGCTGGTCTCGAACTCCTGACCTCGTGATCCACCCGCCTTGGCCTCCCAAAGTGCTACTTTTTTTCAATGAAGTAATAATTGAATCACATAAAATAGGTTGGCAAGTGACTGTTAAAACATATATAAAGCAACTGATGACTCAGTTTATCAATTTCCATATACTCTACTTAATAATAGTTTAAAATATTTTGCCATATATAAAGTGATACAGTTAATTTAAAAATTACTTAAACAGAAACTTAAACTGATTCGGATATAAAATGTCTGAAGCATTCTTGCTAGTTGAGGTGTTATAATGACTTCTCCAGTCACTGAATATAAACATTCAGTTTCATCTCTCCACTTCCCACTGCGTTTCTGGCTTCTTTTATTTGCCGCTTTTGTGGGGCCATCTGTTTGGAATTCATTTACTTGCAATTTACATACAGTATTTATAAGTTTGAGATAAGTTACTCCTCTGTTTTCGTGCTAGTACTTATTTAGCAGTTTGAGATGTCAGTGTTTGAATTATAAACTTGTTATGGCTTAGACATTCCCTTCCATCCTAGCAATTTGTTTTCCATGGATCTTCATAAAACTAATTGTTTTAGAAGTTGAAGTGCCAAACTCAGTAGTATTAAAGTGGCATGCAAAACTTGTGAATTTTTGTTGCCTGTCATTATCAGGCGAACCCTCCTGGTGTACTGGCCCTTTTGGATGAAGAATGCTGGTTCCCTAAAGCCACAGATAAAACCTTTGTTGAAAAACTGGTTCAAGAGCAAGGTTCCCACTCCAAGTTTCAGAAACCTCGACAACTAAAAGACAAAGCTGATTTTTGCATTATACATTATGCAGGGAAGGTAAGAGCTCTTATGTTGAATAACTGGATTAAAATGGCTGTGTTTGAAATGTTGCTACATTTTTATGAAGGTGTAACAAAGGTGCTGATAAACGAACAAGTACAGTATATATTACAAACATATTGTCTTTCAGACAGCCCAGTTTGGGGACTGTTGTATAAAAGTTTTTGGTTGAGGCTTAAAGTATTTTTGTTTTTGTGTTTGGTTTTGTGTTCTCCATTTCACCACTTTTGGCTTTGGTGCGGGATAGGTGGACTATAAGGCAGATGAGTGGCTGATGAAGAACATGGACCCCCTGAACGACAACGTGGCCACCCTTTTGCACCAGTCATCAGACAGATTTGTGGCAGAGCTTTGGAAAGACGGTAAGAAAGCGCTTATCTTTGTAATTATGCTTGACTGGAATCTTTTATAATTAAGGTTTATAGATGGTTCTTTTACATATATATGGATATATATACTTCTTACTTTAAAGTCTTTCTTTCCCTAGAGCAGGGCTGCCATTATATCAGAATTTATCCGTTTTAAGAACACTTGGGTTAAGAAATGAATACAGAGACATCTGCCTTCTTGGTCAGATGTTATAGGGAGTACAGAAACATTCTAGGCCCGGAGCCACAAAGACGTACACATATGCCTCAGGCCACCACAGTCCCAATTCAGTTATAATCCAGGAACACTGGGATACAAAACCTGAGAAGGCCTGCTCATTCCTTTTTCCCTGTGTCAGGCCTCCTGAGCTACGTCCTTCCTCACCACCTGCCCCGGACACCCAGTGGCTGGTGGATAAACTCAAGTCGCCTGCATTTAGATCAGTTGTTTTTCTTTCCATCAGTCCTCATAGTTCTTTTGTTATATGAACCTCAGGTGAAGAATTTTGGTGATTTTTATGGTAGACTGCAAGATTTTACTAGTACCAGAAAATCACAATGTCTCTGTGTCTGTATGCATCGTGGGAACCAGTATCTTCTCCTAGAGCTCAGCTCTCCTGCTACATTTCATCCTGGCTCTATTCCACCTCTTTGCCTGGCTTCAGGCCATGCAGGACCTTAGCCCTGGATCTACCCCTGCCTAGACCCTGACCCTGAGGCCAGACCTATTCAGTTACCTGGCTCACGTCTGCTTTCTCTATAGCATCTTAAGCCTTGTAAGCTAGCTGTCTTCTCAGAGGTAGAGGGAAAGAAATGGAAGCAGAGAACAAGGGGGCTAAGTGCAATTGGGGCCAAAGGAAAGAGACAGGAATTGAAGAATGGACACAGAGAAAGTGACTAGGGGAAATGTGACCCTATGAAAGATCATCTTAAGAATGACTGTGTCTGTCAGATCAAGTCAGTGTGAAGGATCTGCAGGGGTGGGATGCACACCTGCACGCATGTGTCCTGGGAACAGACTGTGGGCCTGAGACATAGCAAAGAGGGGAGGGACCTGGGGGAAAGACGAGCTTTCCAACAAGTAAAACAGAAGGCTTTAATCTTTGTACCTTTAGGTGAAAGTCTTCAACTGACTACTGAATGCACAGTGTCACTTCCAGTGACCTACTCAGTTGAGGGATGCCGTGTGAGGACTGGGAAGAGAAGCAGGGAGCTCCAGTAGAACTTACAGTATCCTCAGTGATGAGCTCCTCTTCGCCTTGTCGATAGGCAATGTTAAGAGTGGGATATGAGAAACTGAGACGAGAACAGAAAAGACCTCTGAGCTCAGGTTGTTACAGGGTCTACAGTGCTAGAAAGGCCAGCGCTGGTGTGTTGGAAATGTGTGAGGAAGAAGAGGGAGGAGTAATGCTGCAGTCCTAAGGATTTGCATTCCTTCAGGAATCACTTCAGCTGTGACAGCACTGGGGACTGTGTAGGTTACAAAGTCTCCTCATGTTCAGCTTCTCCTCCGGATACCCTTGTAAGGTCTTAGAACACAGCAGAGGGAGTGAGATCAGTATGCAAAGTGGATCTGTGATAAATGCCATGGGAATGGCACAGTGAGTTTTTAGGGATGTGCAACAGAGGAAGGGACTGCCTTTTTCTGGGGTGCTAAGGGGAAAATGTCATAACGAGAGGATGCAATTTTCCTTGTCCTTAAAGAATAAAAATGATTTGTTGATTAAACAATGGAAGCTGACATCTCCTGAGCACCTACGAAGTGCCACACAGTGTCTTCAGCACTAATTTATGAGCATTCGTGGCCTGGTTATGCCTTAAACGTTTGCGGGTAAGAAGGTTTACATGAACTAGCTCTAGGAGTGAGCGTCTGGGGTGGCATTTGTAGAAATGAAGTTGGCAGAAGAAGTACAGAATGGTCATGGTGGAGAGGTCGAAAATCATGGCTCAGGAGGAGTCTTCCATTTGGCTTTAGAGAGGGCCGGGGCAGAGAAGAGTGAGCAGGAAATGAGGCCGGGCTGGTAGGCTGAGGCTAGGCTGGAAGGCCGTCATGTCCCATCTCTAGTGGAATTTGGACTTGAGACTGTGCTGAATAAATAGCGTCAGTAGGTTTGTGACCTTGGATAGTGACCCATTCTGAACTCGAAGAAGTGAAACAGGCAGTGTTCGTTGGGTGGATTGGAATGAAAGAGCCTGGAAGTGGGGAGTTGAGTATGGGACAACTGAAGATGACAGTGGGCATGGAGACGATGCCTGGGAAACAGGAACAGAGGAAACGGGGACTTTTCCCTGGTTTTTGAAAGCCTCAAAAACTGGTTTTCTCTTCATTTTGAAGGAAAACAAGTATTGGGACCACTGACCTTATAAGCATGGAAATGAGGTCCTTTATTATATATTTATTCTGACACTATGAACCCTTTTTTAGTCCTTGTCTTATATTCCTTAACCAAAAATGGTGTTGGAAACACCCGTTCAGCACTTGACCCATTCGTATAATACTACATACCTACTTATGTACTTCCCATGTCAATAATCTGTGAGCTCGATCTGGAAGCAATGAGAGACATGTCCCCTGCCTCCCAAGAGCTAGTAATCCAGTTGAGAAACCAGGATATACACAGATGCAGTAACAGAACTGAGCTAGTCTTTTTCTTGGCTCCCAGCTCCCTACTTCCTCCTTCCATTCTTCTTTAGCTTCAGGTCTCACCAGCCCAGATACTGGAGAGGGCTTTGGCAACAATAGGTCAGAAGCTGTAGGTGTATAAGGTTTGGTGGGCAAGGGTGGAGGTGGGAGGGTGGGATGTCATACAAATTACGGATCACAGATGCTACGTCTTATAGGTAGGGCCCTGTCTGGAGACTCCTTACCTGTACTTTTGTGTCTTCCATTTAAGAGATACAGGCAAGTTATTGATTTGATTACAGAAATGCTTAGAGGAAACGCTAAGCCTTGCTGAGCTCCTTCAGCCCTTGGCGTGAGCCCCATTCATCTGTACTTAGTCCACAGCTCTGACCCACAGACGCCATGTTTGCACAGCCCTATTGATGGCCCTTGTCTTTCTAAAGATACACCGTTGGGAGTGCATTTGGCCATTCTTGTCAAAATAAGCCAAGGGATATCTTATCTACCCCAGGTTTGCTCGGGCTCTGCTAGCCTCTGCTCTGGAATACTCCTAGGTGTTTGCTCTCCAGATAATGCCGCTCTTAGCAGGAGGTGCTGTCGCTCTTCAGCTTGACAGTTAGTTTCATCTGAGTGACAGAGAACATCTCAGAGGCCACTCACTGTTGGGAGGCGCTGTTCTTCAGGGCGAGGAGCGGGCAGAGAAGCGGTACCATGTTTGTCCAATTTTGAAGACAGTTTGTTTCATACATAAAGTAGTGGCAGGCATAGAAGTTTAAAGAGGGTTCTAAGGTGGAGGATTTATCACTGCTCACTCTGGATGTAGAGTTCTCAGGATAAGGGGAGCAATTTTTCTCTAGAAAAATAACCCTAGAAAAACATTATTTTCCTCTTTTTAGGGCCACTAAAATGCAAAAGCAGAAAATGACAAGTTGAACATGAACAGATGAATATATGACATATGAATATAGTTTGCCTGTGAAGGTACAACACCTAGAGTATGAAACATTTTGTGTTAAAATACAGTTTATGGCTGGGCACGGTGGCTCACGCCTGTCATCCCAGCAGTTTGGGGGGCTGAGGCAGGATGATTGCTTGACCCCAGGAGTTCAAGACCAGCCTGGGTAACACAGCGAGACCCTGTCTCCACTGAAAAAAAAAGAAAGAGAAAGAAAAAGAAAATAGAGTTTGTGTTAGAGTTTTCGAGTTTTCTCAAGGCCAAACCAAGAGAAATAAGATTTATTGGTGGCAGCCCTGCCCTAGAGGTTTATAATGCCTACTTTTCGCTAAAAGATGTTGTTTGGATCTCTTTACCAGCTGCAAAGGACTTCTTGGCACTTCTTAAGGTTTATATTGAGGGAAAAAAAAAACCCTACAGATTGCCTTTTCATGTCAATGTACCTCCTAGGATATTTTCATGAGTAACAGTATGATCAATAAGTATAATCTTGCTTATGATTCAAAATTATTTTAACATTTTGCTACAACAGACCTTGAATTTTGTTTTCCTTAATGGTGTATCTATTGTATAGTAATTTGTATTCAAATTATTTTTCGGAAATTATATTTCCGAGAATCTGTATTGGAAGTAAAATTACACAGCAGCATAATTCGTGACAGTAAAAGCCACTAATATGTACGTTTGCCATAGTGCTGTGACTTCACTGCCGTCATGTCCTAAGCTACTCACTATAAGAGATTTTTCTGATAGATGATTCAAATAGTACCTATTCCTCTTAAAATTCATCTTGCATTTACATGGGGTAATCATTTGACATTGATATCATGTAATGCTCACACCAGGAACTGGGAATGTGCTCTTTTGATTTAGCCTTAATCTATTTTATAAAGAACTTTGTCCAAATGTGCAAATGCTCTAAACAGTCATGTTTGCATGGGATCTGCCTTGGACTAGCTCCTTTTGTAGCCCGATTTCAAAGTTGACTTGTGCTGTCGAATGTCTTTCACACTAACTGAAGTGTTTGTGTATTTGCTCTTCTGTCCTGTTTTTGCTGTTTCTCTGCTTTAGAGATTCAGAATATTCAGAGAGCTTCTTTCTATGACAGTGTTTCTGGTCTTCATGAGCCACCAGGTGAATGTATAAAGCCTGTAGGTCTCCCAAAACAGAAGGGTTTTAAGCCCACAGGAAAAATGTGTGGGGGGGACTGGCAGGGTGGCCGGGGAGGGCAGGGGGTAGGCTGGGGGGCTGGGGTGGGCTTTCGGGTTTCTGTTTTGGTTTTGCTCATAGGCCTGCATGAACCTTTCATTTCATGCTCAGTTTTATTATACTTCAAGGCAAATGTTTGAGTGCATAAGCAATTTAATTGCTACTGCCTACACATTGCTTCTTATTTTATGCATAGCACTTATAGCACCGCATATTAAAAGGTATGCCACTACCTTTTCCAATAGTGCCATTGTGATACACAGTCCTCTAAGGAAATCGTTAAGAACCGATCTGCTAAATGACATCTCCTTTGCTTTTGAGTCACCTTTAAATTTTCAACTCTAAGGAATTTCCAAGGAGGAGTGTTTCCTTTTATTTAAGACACATTTTGCAGACAAATAATTACATATTTACCTCAGGTGTGTTGGTCTCCTCATTATACCTTTTGTTTGGAATGTGTGTGCATATCTGGCTACTTGCCCTTTTCTTTTCAACCAGAGGCCCTGAAACGATCTACAAGGCCTGATAATGTGCAAGTTGAGACGAAAACAGAGTGGAATGTTGTCAGGATTATACATTGAGCCTTAAATTGAGCTCCACATGTTTGGGCTTTGTGATCTGAATCCTTAGCCCTGTGTTAAAATACAGCCTAACTACAGCTACAGAGTCTCCAAAAGCCCAATATAAAATGAAGCCCAGCCAGCCTTCCAAATGTTTAGTGAAATTGGCAAGTAGCGAAACTCAAAGATAAATTTATCTTATGAAATTTCCTTTATGATTTTTGGAACATGATAATGCTGAGATCCAAATCCATCTCAAAAGTTATTTTTAAAATGTTAAAGGACCATGCCTATTTTAATCCAACTCAAAATTCCTGCCATCAACTCTAGTTCACATACTATGAAAGAAGTAGATTGCAAGGATGGAGTGGGAGGAGATAAAAGATTATGCTAGAGACAGCATAAGCAGGAATGAAAATTCTACAGAACTCCAGAGGAAGAGATCTCTAAATTCAGTCCTCTTTGGCGTTGGGGAATGCTGACAGTGTTGAAATGGACGGGGGGAGCTTGGAGGTAGTTTTCGGCTATAACCTGGGACTTGGGCTTTATTAAAGGTTAGTGCTTGATCTTTTGGACTTTCTCCTAAAGTGAGTGCCCTCTTTAGATGAATTCCCTTTGGATTTCTAACCTCATAAGAGAATTCCAGGCTGTGAGCTCTTTGAAGGCAGGGCCAGTGCCTGACTTTGCTCACTGTCATCTCTTTAGCACCTGGCACAGAGGAGGCAAAGCATCACTAAGTCACTGAGCGAGAGCTGATGGATGGGTAGGGGGTGGTGACCCCACACCCAAATTTCAGCCCCAGCAGCTTCGCCCACCATTCCCACCGTGACCACCGAAAGCACGGGCACTCTTTCCTGTGGGACCATGATCTTTGGGGTGTATACACCTGGCATTTTGCTGTACCAGCAGCATCCAGTAGAGAGCCGCTCTTAGATGACTTCATGCTAATGAATGAGCAGCAGGGAGGCCCGTTCCCCTCACTGCACCCTCACCTTGGCACTGAAAATGTTCCCAGCTCTGTCTGTCTCTGTGAGGTGTCCTTTGGTTCAATTACTCAGCTGAACCAAGCACCAATGGTCTCAATCTCTACTTCTCCTCGGAAGCCCATCCATCTACCAAGGCCAAATATGTTCTTTGAAATCGAGTGTAATATTTTACAGCAAAATCGTTTTCTCTTTAATGTGTTTATTGATTCAAGACCACCACCCCAGAGAGGGCTAAGGGATTTTAAAATGAAAATGGAGGACTTTAATATTTCCAGTGATTTCTTGGAAGACAATGGATGGAGGAGTTTCTAGGGATCCAGATTGTGATTGCCTGTGATGTGCTGATGTGTGGTAAGCATCTCTCTAAAGCAGGTGACACAAAGCTAATAGGACCCATGTGCTTAAGTACAATTGTAATGATGGGCAAATAGCATTATGAAGAGCATGCAGGCTTCTGGGACTGGAATAAAAAGAGATTTCCAGAAGAATTACAGGACAAGTGCAAAAGAGAAAGCAACAGGGGAGAACAGGATTCCTAGAAGCAAATACAGAGGTCATACAAGTTTCTGCTATAAAGTCGAGGACTCTTTTCTTACAAGTATATCTTGAAAGTCTGGGCTTCAGAGAGAAACCAGTAGTGGAAGATGCAAGCAGAATGAACCAGCAAAAAGAGGTTGTAACCTGAAAGCTACAGGCAGGGCTTTTGGACTAAAGGGGCTTTTGGACTAATAGGGTAATTGGGACTATGGAAGGCTTTAGACCTGATCCAAATCATGTTGGAGGGACAATTATGTATCATTTTCACTGACGCTAGTTTATACCTGCACCTGCAATTTCCTTCATAGAACAGCACCAGTTAGGCTCTTTGAACCTCCATGTGTGCTAGATTGCAGCTGACAGGTCCGGAAGAGTGTACCACCACAGCAAAACTCAGGGAAAACCTGAGAAGTCCGTGTAGAGCCAAGTATCATGACTGATAAGATGGTACCCATTTAATCTCCTTATTGATTACATCCTTTGATCATAACCTCCATCTTAAGTCCCATTTTAGAATCTGTGGTTTAGGTCTGACATAGTTTACGTGTTTAAATTGTTCTCGCTTTCAATGGATGAAGGTTTGTGTTATTGTTGCAGTATATTCTGCTCCTTCCTATTTTTTGATCTCAAGTGTTAGCAATAGTTGGAAACTCACCGCAGAGAAGCAGCGCTTGGGTACTGCAGCTTGAGTTCCTGAGGGCAAGTGCGGACAGCGACATTTAGTTCTCAGGGTTATTGTGAATATCAACTGAGGCAACGTGAACCTGAATGCGTGGCACACGGGGAGTGCCTGAATGTGTGGTGTGGTAGAGTTGCCGTTGCCTTGGCTGCATCTGCAGCAGCTGCTGCTGTAATTACAGAACAACAGAGAAACCCGATAAATGTTTATTTCCTTGGCTTTCCTTAAGTCTAGTATCGTTCATAGTGTCCCAAGGTTCAGCTGATAGGCTGCGGTGCCGGGCTGCCCAGTCTCAGCGTGAGTTGGGGACATGGGACTGACAAGGGGAGAAAGCGAGCACAAAGCATAGTGGAAGCTGCGGGCAAAGAGGGGCTTCCTGTCTGCCCAAAGTCTTAGATGGCTGAAAGGGATAGGAAGGTAGATGGAGATAAGGGAGACATTCAAGTTTGGCTTGAGACTAGTGCTTGGAATAAAGAAGATTGTTTTCTCCTTAAATCACGTGCTTCTTCTCAACCTCTCAACTTCCTGGGGTTTTTCTAAAAATTTTCAGATGCTAGAGTAATTAGCAGATCGGTTCTAGCAACTAGTTATGTAACCACTGCAAACTTGTTATTACACTACCATGTAACAGGGATATTACGGAGACAGACTGATGTTAAGATTCTTTCTGAGAATTCATAATAGTTAAATATATTTGTTTCCAAATTGTTTGTAACAGTGACAATTTTCATCTGTATGAGGATGGAATTGTCTTACCTTATTTAAATGAGTATTGAGAACGTGCTCCATGCCTCGCACAGTGCCGGGCACTGAACACCTTTCATAAGGAGTGTGTGATGCTGCTCTCAGTCATCAGCATCTGGCTGCTGAAATTAACATTAAATAGGTTTCTTCTCCCTGTTTTGGTTTCCAGCTATATTCACTAGAATGAATTTCTGAAGATCTAGCTTCAATACTTGAAAGTAAATTTAGTAACACTAGTACTGTGGCCCATGCACAGATTTGAAAAACATAAAAATCTTATGGACCCGTCTCCTAGATTATCCCCTAGAAGGGCCAGTTAAGGATTCTGGCACCAGCCGATGCCATTCCTTCTATGAAACTGTTGATGGCAGTTTCATGATGAGATAGATGACACATTGCATTTTCTCTCTTAAACTGCGAATATATCCTCACAGATTTCAGTCTGGAACTCATCTAATTTCTGACTGTTTAAATAAATTGTTATAGATTAGTAAATTAGGTGTTAGTATAAAATACTTTTCAGGCTTCTAGAACCAAGTAATGAATTTAAATCCCCACCAGCAATCCTAACCAGGCTCTCCTGACAGCTCGGATAGAAGAATGTATAGTGCAAGAATAAACAAAGCCGGTCTTTACCCTGAAACGGTGGCTGGAGGAAAGGCACTTTGAGATTTAGAAGCAATATTAGGTCTTCCAGTGAGGCGCACTGCTCACTTCGAGGAGCTGCTGGCGTCTTCTCTTCGCACTTTCTGCCTTTCTCTGGTTTCTGCTTTGATCAACAAGAAGATACTCTTAAAATAGAGGTTTTTCGGGTCTTGATTGTTGAGTGAAATCATACATTATTAGTGTGGCTCAAATCATTTAATGAATTTCCCAACATGTTTCTCTTTCACTCACAAGATAATTTTGTTGGTAGAATCTAACCCAGAGTTTAAAATGTTGAATTAAAAATAGCCGGGTGCAGTGGCTCACGCCTATAATCCCAGCACTTTGGGAGGCCGAGGCGGGCAGATCACAAGGTCAGGAGTTCGAGACCAGCCTGGCCAATATGGTGAAACCCCGTCTCTGCTAAAAATACAAAAATTAGCTGGGCGTGGTGGCGGGCGCCTGTAGTCCCAGCTACTCAGAAGGCTGAGGCAGGAGAATCGCTTGAACCCGGGAGGCGGAGGTTGCTGTGAGCCAAGATCGCGCCATTGCACTCCAGCCTGGGTGACAGAGCAAGACTCCATCTCAAAAAAACAAGAACTGAAAGTCTAAAGCATTATTTTTTAAAAATCTGAATATTTAGCTTTGGATTGTCCTTATTAAAATTAAATTTGAAAATCAGGATTATTATGACTATTTATCGGTTACTATATTTTTAAAAACACACACACACAACACTGACAGCAGATTGTGTTTAAGAACTGCCTGTGCGGGCTAAAGTCCTGCACAACCAGGGTAACTGAATCCTTCCAGAGCAACATGGTGCTCTTCCTCTCTCGTTGTGGTGGTGATTTGTTCTTCTGGTAAACTTCGTGCAAGTTCACTTAGCAGATGCTTATTAAATACCTCCTGTGTGCCCGGCACCAGGTACCGGCCAACATTTGGGGATGGGAGATTGTCTCCGCTGATGGTTGGGGGGCCAGAGACACCATGGGCACAGCTTTCGGGGCCCTGAGTATGTGAAATGCTGGAAAAATGTTCCCTGGGGAAACTCAGTCCAGTGAGAAGATGCACAGAACAGTGTGGAGGTTCTGTCCCAGGGATTTCAAGCCTAGAGAAGGGAGTGGCCTATTTAGCTTTGGAGGCAGGGTGAAAACCAAGCCTAAGAAGGTTTCCCTGAGGTAGCTGGTAAAGGAATGGAGATTTAAAAGTATTTAAGGGTTTGCCAAGATGACTGGAGCAGGCTGGGCATTCCAGGCAGAGAGAAAAGCATGGGATGTGAAGTCATTGTGTCTTTGGACAAATGCAACTAGTTTGTACAGTTGGCCGTTAGGGGCATGAGTGAAAAGGACAAGAGAGGTGCCTTCACTGAGCACTTGAATGTTTTTCAGGCTCACAGCTCTGAAGCGTGGTCTCTTTAGCTCCCTTTCAAGAGGAGGAAATTGAGAAGTTGGGTCACTTGCCCCAGAATCACCCAGCTCATGAGTGAGTGTGGTGTGTCTGACTCTGAGTGGAGGCCATCACTGTGCTGTCCTACTGAGCTAAGTTATTTGGACAATATCCGACAGGCTGTGGGAGAAACTCAAGGATGTTAATGCATAGTTTTATCTTTTAGAAATGGCTGCTACATTACACAGGGACAGAAGGTGTAAATGAAGGAACCATGTAGCACTGCGGGTAGAGGATGAAATGGGGGAGAAGTGCAGGATCCAGGTCAGAAGCAGGAGCCCAGCAAGGGCAGGGGAGAGGAGGGTGGATCAATGACATCTTAACCTTTGGCTTGACCACTTTTGGTCAGTGGTTCCATGGGATAGGAAACCCAGGACGAAGAACAGGACAGAGGGTAGGTCCATGCTTGGGTTTAAGACATGGGCCTTTGTCCCCTCTCCATATCCTTCGTTGTTTTGTTTTGTTTTGTTTTGTTTTGTTTTGTGACAGAATCTCGCTCTGTTGCCCAGGCTGGAGTTCAGTGGCATGATCTCAGCTCACTGTGACCTCTACTTCCTGAGTTCAGGCAATTTTCTCCCTCAGCTTCAGCAATTCTCCTGCCTCAGCCTTCCGAGTAGCTGGCACTACAGGTGTGTACCACCACACCCAGCTAACTTTTGTATTTGTTATACTTTTAGTAGAGACAAGGTTTCACCATGTCGGCCAGGCTGGTCTCCAACTCCTGACCTCAGGTGATCCTCCTGCCTCAGCCTCCTAAAATACTGGGATTACAGGTGTGAGTCACCGTGCCTGGCCTTCGTTCCTCTTTAACTCCTCCTCCTCTGCTGAGCTCCTGGGGGATGGTCTTAGGCCCTCATCTCTTTCTGGTCTCCCCTAGATAAAAGTTGACAACTCCCAAATTTACCTTTCTAGTTCAGACCTCTCTTCCTAGCAGCAGACTGGAATATTCCTCTTGTCATTTGACATCTCTCTTACACTTCAAAGTCCCCGGGCATCCCAGACTGACTTAGAGTTTGGGTCTTGTCTTCCCATCCACAAAACCCACTTCCCTCCTTGTCTTCCCTACCAGCCATTCAGTTGCTCAAGCCACAGTCCTAGCAGTTATTCTTGAAATGCTCCTCTGCCTCACTATGCATATTGAATTCATCGCAACAGCAAGTCAATTTTCCCACTAAAATACCTCTTGAATCTTCCTTCTCGATCCATCTTCATAATCTCACTAGCTCCAGCTGCCCTCATCACCTAGACCCTGGACTCCTGGAAGGGTCACCTGTCTGGTCTCCTCACTTCCACTTCTCCCCTCCCCCTTCCCCAGGCCATTCTGCAGGCAGCAGCCAGTGCAAGTGTGGTAAGCTCCTCCTCATACTGGTGCCTCCTCCTCCAGGCTGGCCTTCCTTCGCTTCTTCCTGCCCCTGGTCTTTCACATATGCTGATTGCACCAACTGGAGTGGTCATCTTCCCACAGGCCCATTCTTAATTTGGGGGTATTATATGGCATTTCCCCAGAGAGATCTCTAACCACTCATTTCTCCTATAGCATCCTGTTATTTTCTTTGAATGCATTTCTCACCCTTTTTAATTACAAACATATTTAATGTTTACATAATTTATCCACTGACATGTATATATCAAGCATGTTAGTGCCAGGCGTGATGCTGGGAGCAGGGATGCCACATTGAGTCAAAGCAGACATGCTAGGATTGAACAAGTATTTGTAGAAGGCAGAGGCACCTTTGTGACATCTGAGTGGAGAGTAGAATACAAGTGGTTGGCAGCTGGCTCTGGGTGGTCAGGTGTATCTAGTTAGAGTCATAGCTGAGATCACCTGGGTTAGGAATCTGGCTTGAGAAAAGCAGAGGGCCAACGTCAGCACTTGTATTGTGCCTTATTCTAGAAGGGCTGCAGACGAATTGATTTGGGATCCCAGCTGAGTGCCATGAGGTACAGGAAAAGCAGAAGAGAAATCATCAAGAAACATGGGACTGAAGTAGCAAGAGGGAAGTGGGGTACAGGAGAAGGTGGGGCTCCGAAAAACGCCAGGAGTGGAGAGTTTTTAGAATGCTGCTGTGACATCACCAGGTAAACGTACCAGTGTCAAGAAAAACAAGCACTAGGTGGTGTCTATTCATTTAGCAATTGACCAGTCACTGCCTGAGTAGTGTTGGGCAGGAGAGGAAGAGGACGGGCCATAAGCCAGTTGGCTACACACTGGGAAATTAGTGGGAGAGGATATGGTGTAGCAAGGGTGTGAACTGCTCAAGAAAGAAGCTTGTCTCTGACAAGAGAAGTGGGCAGATACAGAGTCAAGGGAAGATCAGTATTTTATGGGGCCTGCAGAAGTGGGTTTGGTGCTGCTTTCTGCTGGGGCGAGTGAAGGAGGAAAGGTTGAAGGCACAGGAGAGAACGGCGGTCTCTGAAGTAGACAGTCTCCAATGCACAAGCAAAAGAGGTAGCTCTGACCCACACCCTTGAATCTGGTAGCTTTGCTTGGAAGCAGTTGTAGTATAGCGTGCCTGCATGGGCCTGGAAATTAAACAGCTTTTACCCGCCCTTCTCCCAGCTTCCACTGAAGACCTGCGTAACTTGAGCAGTTCACTTTTACCTCCCGGGGTCATGATTCTCTGCTGTTAAAAAACCTCATTGGGAATTGATAATCGAATGAGATCTTGCACATAAAGCTCTTCACACAGCGTCAGGTCCCCATGTTTCTGTCATAGGAAACAAATGAAAGAAATGAGGTGTCCATTAGGGTTGAGGAGGGCATTAAGAAGGGCAGTTCCATTGATAATTCTGATTGATTTTAAAGTATTTGAGTAATGTGTTTCATTCATTTAATTTGTTTTCGGTAAGAGGTTATGTACATTATGCACCAAATGTTTTGCTTGTGGCTGGTGCTCTGTTTATGATCTCATCATTAGAAGTACTAGGTCTTTGTGGATAATATAAAAATATCAGTTGCTCTAACAAGGGAATGTCTGACAAGTTTAGCCACTGAACACCGAGGAAGCTTAGGCATTTATTCTTTTCAGAAGGGTCCTTCCTATTTGTGTTCTTGCCCTTTAATAAGTGTTACTCATGTTTTGAGAAGAGAGCTGAAGCTTACACATTGCTAAAAATCTGAACTCCTGTAATCTAATCTTCCTGCATTTGTTCCTAAAACTTGAATGACTTTTCTTACTGAAAATCTAATGACTAATAAGAGAATCCTGGTCCCTAGTCCCTGAGGTTATTTATTAAGTGGATTTGTACAATCAGATATTCTTATATCTATTTTTATGAGCCATTTCCTATTTGGAGGCCTTTCGCAGTGTCAGTCTGTATGTATCAATAATGCCAGCCAACGAGTTTTCATTTACCAAATAATTGTAAATGTAACAGGCAGAATGTTGTCCAAGATAGTGAAGTCCTGAAGCTAGCGCAGCGGAAGGCATCTGCTGGTGTATGTTAGTGAGGAGCTGTCACAGCACTACAGTCTCCTGCCATATAAGTGTGTGGCTGTTAGTTCCCAGCTTGTGCAGTGCCTAAGTATGCTGACTGCCTTACCTATATGGCATCTCCTGTCATTTGTTCCACAAAGCTTGTGCTGCTGCACTTTCACTGTGTCTTTTCTTTCCCTGCTAACGAGTGAGGTTTGGCTTATATTTGTTTTCTCCTTTCTCCTCCCCAGTGGACCGTATCGTGGGTCTGGATCAAGTCACTGGTATGACTGAGACAGCTTTTGGCTCCGCATATAAAACCAAGAAGGGCATGTTTCGTACCGTCGGGCAGCTCTACAAAGAATCTCTGACCAAGCTGATGGCAACCCTCCGAAACACCAACCCTAACTTCGTTCGCTGCATCATTCCCAATCACGAGAAGAGGGTATGTGCTGAGCAAAACATATGCGAGTATTTTAAACTGATCTAGGTCAGGTGCTAAAGATTAAACTACGAAACTATTGTTTGCTTGATTAGGCTGGAAAATTGGATCCACACCTAGTCCTAGATCAGCTGCGCTGTAACGGTGTCCTGGAAGGGATCCGCATCTGTCGCCAGGGCTTCCCCAACCGAATAGTTTTCCAGGAATTCAGACAGAGGTATTGCTAACTTTTACTTTTTTTGCTTACGTATCAAAGCTTATCTTCATATGAATTAAAACAGTGATATAATAAGGAAATCTTTTTCCTTGTCCCCTACATAGTTTGTTTTCTTATATAGCAAACATATAGTGACGTACTGGAGAAGGACAACCCTTAATTACTTTGATTATTGGTAGGAAGATTGAGTGCCTACTTTCTAAAAAGGCAGCGTGCTAGGAACTGCTGTGGGTGCTGCAAAGAAACATGCCATGTTTTCAGGGCCCTGAAGTGAGCTTTGAGATAAACATAGAAAGCTGAAAGCTTACAGTTTACTCATTCAGACAATTCTACCTGGGATTCAAACATAATTATGTTTGTTTGTTTATTTATTTATTTATTATTTTTGAGACGGAGTCTTCACTCCATCACCCAGGCTGGAGTGCAGTGGCGCCATCTCGGCTCACTGCAGCCTCCACCTCCCAGGTTCAAGCAATTCTCCTACCTCAGCGTCCTGAGTTGCTGGGACTAGAGACACGTGCCACCACTCCCAGCTAGTTTTTTGTATTTTTAGTAGAGACAGGGTTTCACCAAGCTAGCCAGGATGGTCTCGATCTCCTGACCTCGTGATCCCGCCTCGGCCTCCCAAAGTGCTGGGATTACAGGCCAAACATAATTATTTTTAAAATTGATTTTTTAAATAGATAAGTAATGTATGTTCCTTTTAGGAAAGTTTGAAAATACAAGAGAAGTAAGAAAGTAAATAAAAATCATCCAGGAGTGATTCCTAAAAACATGTTGGGGTACTTCTTTCCATCTTTTCTCAATGAATATATCTGTGTGTGTGTGTGTGTATGAATTTTTTTCCAATGTATGTGTACATGTGCGCACACATGCATGCAATTACAGTCTTTTAGCTAACGTAGGAAAATGAGTACATACATTAGAAAAGGATTAAGAAAAAACAAAAGGGAAAAGATCTATCAACCTGCAGTGGAAATGGATACAAACATATGATGGGAGTTATTTTTAACTTTTATTTGGTAATTTTCTTGAATAGTTACTTTAGTTTGCTTTTTTTCTTCCTTTTTCTGGAAATCAGATTTCAAAGTTTGACACCATTTGTTGTTCCATGAAATAAATGGTGCTGCCGGGTCAAAGATTGGTCCTTGTGCACTTTCTCCCACTGTTCCAGATAGTCACCTTGAGAAGCCCTTGCAGTCCTTGTGTGTCTTCAGGAAGGCTGTCATTCTGATCCTATTGTATGATAAAGTCTGGTAGATTTTCATTTTTTATTGTTAGGAGAAAAAGGGAGTATGATTGGCATCCAAGATACAAAGTTGACTGACGTAGCCAGGATTCCTCCTTTAATATAGCCAGTATCTTTTATTTTTCTAATTGAGGGATAGCCTGTATACAGTGAGGTGCACAGATTTTAAATGTGCAGCTCAGGGAGCACATGTACGTGTGTACACCCTGACCACTGTCACATCACATGTCACCCTGATGTTGTCTGATGTTCTGAATAGAAGCCTATGAACACAACTCTTACAGCCCTTCCTGTTATCTAATAAATGCTACAAATTGACAGTGACTTAAAGTGCAGAAAGCCAGATCTCTTTTGCATCTTGAGAATATGAACATTTTGTAGGAAATGAAGATAAATGAAAGGTTTCTAAAACAGCATGCTTTTGATTTTTCTCTGCCACAACCTCCTAAACCTACTTTTTGACCTGAAAGAACTAACCTCATTTTTACTTATGAGAAATAGAAAGTAGATCTACAGAAAACAATCAGATTATCACCAGTTCATTTCTTTACTCTTAATTTAACATGTATTTACATACCCAACATTGTATTGCCTCTTAGAGCAAAACTCACAGTTAGCAGACACACATTGTCCACAAATTTCTACAAAATACTTCTTGGAATATTTTCTTACAGATATGAGATCCTAACTCCAAATGCTATTCCTAAAGGTTTTATGGATGGCAAACAGGCCTGTGAACGAATGGTAAGCTTTTCTTGATTTTTTTTTTCTGGTTTGTAGACTTAATCTAATCTTTCTTGGAGTTAAAAAAAAAAAGTAAATGAACTCTTTCTGTCTTAGATCCGGGCTTTAGAATTGGACCCAAACTTGTACAGAATTGGACAGAGCAAGATATTTTTCAGAGCTGGAGTTCTGGCACACTTAGAGGAAGAGAGAGATTTAAAAATCACCGACATCATTATCTTCTTCCAGGCCGTTTGCAGAGGTTACCTAGCCAGAAAGTAAGTGGTTATTCACGAATTCATCGTTCACTGAGGATGCACGTGTGCTAAATCAGCATTGCGTTTTGGGCTAGGAATGCAACAGTATGTGAAACATAAAGTCCGTCCTTATGGAAACTGCTTTCTAGTGGCAGAGATAGGTAAATACATGAACATTCTAAGTAATGGGATGTTGCAATAAGAAAACACACAAGGAGGCCGGGCATGGCAGCTCAGGCCTGTCATCCCAGCACTTTGGGAGGCCAAAGTGGGGCAGATCACTTGAGCTCAGGAGTTCGAGACCAGCCAGGGCAACATGGCGAAACCCCATCTCTACTAAAAATATTAAAGGGAGCCAGGCTTTGTAACACGTGCCTGTAGTCCCAGCTACCTGGGGGAACTGAGGCAGGAGGCTCTCTTGAACCTGGGAGGTCAAGGCTGCAGTAAGCCAAGATGGCACCACTGCACCCCAGCCTAGGTGACAAAGTGAGACCCTATCTCAAACACACACACACACACACACACACACACACACACACACACACACACAAAGGGGCCAAGGGGCTTGGGGTCCTGCTTCAGCTCAAGTCCTCAGAGAATGCTTCTCTGAGGCTGAAATCTCAAGGGTAAGAAGGCTGGCCCTGTGAAGGGAGGAGAGAGAAGCTTTCAGTAAGGGAACTACAGCAGCATTGTGGCAAGAGTCTGGCAGCATTTGAGAAGGTGACACAGTCCATGTGGCTGGAGCAGGATGAGTGAGAGGGAGCAAGGTGAGAGAAGAGGCTTGAGAATCAGACGCTGGACAGGGGTTAGGAGTGCAGTGAAGGGAATCTATACTGTCAAGGCCACCTGGCTGCAGTGTGCAGAATCCACTGAGACAGGCCAAGAGTAGAATTGGGAGGGCCAGTTGGGAAGCTGTCTTAGTGATTCAGGTAGAAGATGATGGTGCCTGGACCCAAGAAGGTGGTGTTGGAGAATGAGAGAAAAGTTGTTAAATTTGAGATGGAATTCAAAGAACTTAGAACCGATTTGGATTTAGAAGGTAGTACTGGTATACTTCTTCCTACTGAACACTTAGGGTTTGGGAGTGAGAGAAGTTGAGAGAGGTTGAATAGTTCGTCATCCAGACAGTTTTGAGCAAACAGAATCTGAACTCCTGCACTGGAAGTCAGCACTCTGCACTAATGTCTCCTACATGTGGGTTGGAAAACAGCTCTGGTTCCTGGGCAGTCGCTTGCCCAGACCGTGGTCAAGAGGGCTTTAAACAGAAGAAGGTAAAGGCAATATTGGTTTTTGGGGTTTTTTGTGTTTTTTGGCTTTTTTTTTTTTGCCTATAAAATAGAATACGGAGTAAAAAGAGTAGCATGGAAAGTTGAAGACAAATAGATGATATCTTCTGGTTGATACTAAGAAACATTTGGCAAAAAGGAGTAAAAAACTTGAGTTTTTATATACTAATGTTTAGATACTATATAAATAATAAAGTGACCCTGTTGATAGCAAAGAGCCTCCTCACTGTATCCACTGAACTGCAGAATGCCTAACATGGCATAAGGAGTGAGCAATGGCAGGTGCCAGGCTAACTTCATAGAGTTAGCAAAAAACTTGACACCTGTCAGAAACATGCTACAACTATCAAAAGCGCAGGAAACAAACTATGTAGATATACTTTGTGCAGCTTTTTCATGGATCTAAACCTTGCTTGCAAAATTTGCAAGATAGGAACTTAAAAACAAGATATTTCACTTGCATTATTTCATCTTAAGGACTTAAATCTAACAAATCCATGTAATCGTATATGTAGGCCGACATGCCTTTGCCTTTGCAGCCCTTTGCCCCTAAATATTTTAGTCACACTATGTATATGGTAGGCTGGGACTTAAAATTAGGATACATCAAAAAAAGAAGATAACCTGTTCAAAGGAACCAGACTGTACTGTGGAAAAAGGCAGAATAGTGCTAATAGTCAAAAAAAAAAAATAGGTGTCTTTACAGAAATCCATGAACTTGAGCTTGAAGCGCCCTGGAGGACACTGGGATAAGGATAAAAAGGCGGGGAAGGAGCTAAAGTGATTTTGAACACTTTCAAAGTCCACTTTCCAAACACTCGGAGATAGGTTGATGTCACAGCTCCCTCATGAAAACCTGGAGGACAGTGCCTGACACACAGGCTCAGTAAAAACCAGCCGACCACAGTGCAGAAGGAAACCAGCTGCCTCATTCCACTAAACAAAGTGCCCGGCATGTTTCTGACTCATCATTTGACAGTTTTATCTCCCAGAGGGCCAAGGAAGCAACTAGGGCAGTAGTTTTTAAATAAGAAGATTGGCTGAATTTTTACAGCATTCCTGAAGGTGATTGCAAGAATTGGAAGGTGGATGCTTAAATTCAAAAGTCATTTTTGAAACTTTTGTTTTTGTAGTAGGAACTCTTGGAATTAAGACTTGGCCAATCCCGGCCAGGCACAGTGGATCACTTGAGGTCAGGAGTTCAAGACCAGCCTGACCAACATGGCGAAACCCTGTCTCTACTAAAAATACAAAAAATTAGCAAGGCATGGTGGTGCATGCCTGTAGTCCCAGCTTCTCGGGAGGCTGAGGGACGAGAATCGCTTGAGCCCAAGAGGTTGCAGTGAGCCAAGATTGCACCACTGTAGTCCAGCCTGGGCAACAGAGCAAGACTGTCTCAAAAAAAAAAAAAAAAAGACTTAGCCAATTCTTTTTGGCTGGTAGGAATAAGTTAGAAGGTTTTGTAAGGAGCAAGAATAAAAACAGTTATGAAGCAGTGGACTCAGGGAAAATTCTAACCAGCAAGGAGGAATTCGTTGGCAGTATGGCAGTTGTGGGATTCTTGCAAGGAAATGTGACAGGTAGGTCATTTCTGCTCTAAAACAGCAACTGTCTCTCTTTTCTTAAGACACTCCCACTCCTGATACCGCTGTTTGCTGGAGTGAATGAATAATTGGAAATGTTTTTCTTGTTTTTTCCATCGCCTTCAATTGCTTCTCTTTCCCAGGAGCATCTTATAGCTGCTCCTGCAAGCTGTTATAAAAGGACTTCAGAGAAACAATTACAGATTATTTCTAGGAAATACCCAGTTAATTTACTCAACAAACACATCCTTAGGAGGCCTGAAGTCTGTCAGTCACTTGGTTGTGTCCACAAAAATGCCTGGGCCGCGATCCCTGCCCCTGAGGAGCTCAGAGTCTAGGTGGGAGCACAGCCGTGTGAGTGGACTGTCGGAGTGGAGCCTCAGCACTGTCGGTGGGGCCCAGGAGGCTCAGGCCGTTCTGGTGCTCTGGAATCCAGGGATGTGATGTCCAGTAGTGGGGTAGTCCCCGGAGGAGTGCGGCGCGCAAGGCACTTGGGATTGGCTGAGGAAAAGCCGCTAAGTTCTGAGTCTCGGAGTCCTTTGTCAAGACCTAAAGTGCAGCTTTGGTAGCGTGGTGGGGTAGAAAGCTGACTGCTGGAAGCCAGGAAGTCAGTAACAGGAACGTTTGCCTGTGGACCCTGAGAGTTTCATAAGGAGTCGAAAAATATCAATTGTCTGTCGAAGGAATGGCAAGGTAATGAGCTTCATTTGGGCCTGGGGGTTGTTTTTGGCAGGAGGGGGTTTGAGGGTTTCTGTGTTCCTGAAGAAGAGTGAGAAATTGAAAACACCAGAGTGAAGGCGAATGGGAACTGGGTCTCAGACCCTGCTGTGGGGCCGAGGAGGTGGCAGGGTGTAGTGGGAAGCCCAGGTGTGGTCATGAGGAGGCGAGGGCTCCACAGAGCAAGAGTCATCTCCAGGCACTGGATGAGGCCTGGCCATAAATGAGAGACACTGATAGACCCACAGGCAAATGTTCCTATTACTGACTTCCTGGCTCCAGCAGTCGGCTTTCTACCCCACCACGCTACCAAAGCTGCACTTTAGATCTTGACAAAGGACTCCCAGACCCAGAACTTAGCGGCTTTTCCTCAGCCAAATCCACGTGCCTTAACCGCTACACTCCCATTCTACTTTTGAGTGCTGCACTCCATTGTGGCAAAGTGGAGGCAAGGAGGAGAAACATTACCTTGGGAGATGGGGAGAAATGTTTCTTCTGTGACATACCAACAGGAAAACGAGAGAGTAGCTCCTAAAGGCACGATAAAGAGCAGCAGCACAGAAAATGGGCCCTTCTGTCTACTGTCTTCATTGCCTCAGGAAAATCGGTGTCTTAGTGTGCGCAGTGTGGGTATATGGCTGAGTGGCAGCAGGACGATGTGCAGGGCAGCATCCGTGAAGAAAGTCAGTGCAGGAACTGGTGCCAGGGGCCTGAGGTGGGCTGAGCAGCCCAACAAGCCAGTGTGGCTTCAAGCAGCCAGAACGACTTCCTTGTGTGTCTCACCCAGGACTTGATTGATGCATCCATTCCCTATCCTAGACAGAGAACACGGGCCTTTAGAAAGGCTTCTTATGACAGCAGCCATTCAGGCACTTTTTTCTTTACATCATAAGTTTTTCTTATTGTTCTTCAGGGCCTTTGCCAAGAAGCAGCAGCAACTAAGTGCCTTAAAGGTCTTGCAGCGGAACTGTGCCGCGTACCTGAAGTTACGGCACTGGCAGTGGTGGCGAGTCTTCACAAAGGTGAGCTCGGCTCCCTTCTTTCCAGATCCCTTTCAAACAGCAGAGTCTGATCAGGAAAAACCCACAGGAAAGAGCTGGAATGATAAACTGCTTAATTTTGTCATAGGTGAAGCCACTTCTACAAGTGACTCGGCAGGAGGAAGAACTTCAGGCCAAAGATGAAGAGCTGTTGAAGGTGAAGGAGAAGCAGACGAAGGTGGAAGGAGAGCTGGAGGAGATGGAGCGGAAGCACCAGCAGGTGTGTGCGGTGACCCTGTAACTCCCACTTGGCCCTGAATCTCTATGCGATCTTGCACTGATGGCAACCCCCACACATTTCATTATGAATAGCTATACCCACCATGTCATCTTATGTTATGTGAGGCCTTTTCACTCATTTCCAAATTGTATACATTTTGCCAATAGAGTTAACAGATACATTCTGCCTTGCATTTTAGATTTATGTAAGTTAAAATTAACCTTACCTCTTGCATCTTCGCTTTTGTGATTCTTGCTGTCAAGCATGTACTTAACACCTGTTTTCGATGAGGCTCCCAGTAATGTCACCTTCCTGTGTCTGTTGATGAGGGGAAATAGAGAAACAGTCAAACGGGCGAGATGCTTGAGTAGAGGTCACCACCTGTACTTCTCTAGCAGCAGTGGTCTTGAATGTGTGTCCCTCTTCTGGGAAGTCTTCATGGACAAAGCAGAGGCTCAGGAGATGTTTGTTGTGACAATAATAGAATTATAGCGTTCAAGGCCAAAAATATTAACAATAAAGGCCAAGGATATCACTTACTACCAAACAGGCATTAGTAATCACCATGAACTTTATGGCGTTTGAATAATATTTTCACTCTCCTATTTATCTGTCCCTTGTAAATTACCTTCATAGATGAACTATAATGAATTTAATATGTATTATTCACAGTAACTTGAGACAACAGGAACAACCAAAATATTTTCATCTAGCTTATTTTGCTATAGACAAAAACGTATTTGAAAGTTCTGCCCGTGATGTTATATATTTTTATCTCCCAGTTTCTTTGATGTGCATTGACCATTGAAATCAACGGTGAATATATACTGTGTACGTATGTAATGGGGCAAATCATTGACACTTTATTGTGACTGCAGCTTTTAGAAGAGAAGAACATCCTTGCAGAACAACTACAAGCAGAGACTGAGCTCTTTGCTGAAGCAGAAGAGATGAGGGCAAGACTTGCTGCTAAAAAGCAGGAATTAGAAGAGATTCTACATGACTTGGAGTCCAGGGTGGAAGAAGAAGAAGAAAGAAACCAAATCCTCCAAAATGAAAAGAAAAAAATGCAAGCACATATTCAGGTATCTATAATAATTTTTACTTAGAAGCATATTTTGGATTTTCAAGTGGATCTGTTGAATAAATAGAAGTTATGTGTGTGGATTCTTCAGTCCACAGAGAAGCAAAAGGGTTCTGGGTCTTGAGAAGCCACCCTTAGAAAGATGAGCATCATTTAAAACACACCTATAATAGATTTTCTTTGAACACAGATTTGTCATTTTGAATAGGGATCTTTTTTATGTTCTAAGTGGCATCTTACAGTTTGCAAAGAGATTCAAAGTCACAAACCTCCCAGGGTCTGTAGCGTTCTGTAGAAGACCTAACTTGTTCTTCATGTTGTCAGTGATATCTAATGAATGTTGCTCATCCATTCATTAGATAGACACCTACTACGTGGTTTGGCTAATAAGAAATGCTCAGCACTGAAATAGGAGGTGGCCAACAGTCAGAATGAGAATTTTTAAAAACTAGCCCTTCCCTGGTACTTAACTTTCTTTTTGAATTACAGACTGCACTCATGAGGCACAATTTTTGGATTCTGATTGAAACAGGCAAATGTACTTTTTAAATGGGTCTTTATGTTTTAGGAGCACAGCCTGAAGGTTTTACAAATGAACTATGATGTCTGGGATTTGCTTCAGAATAACCCATGGGGAGAAGGGAGCAGGTGGAGGCACACACGAAATGGAACTGACCATGAGTTGATGCTTGTTAAGGGCAGGGTGATGCTACTGTGTGGGGTTCATTATGCTGGTCCGTGTGCTTAGATGTGTGTTTGAAATTTTTACAATAAAATACTCATTTTTTGCAAGGGTTTCATTCTAAAATTAACAATGAGTAAATTATTTAGCCAAAGATACTCTTGAACATTTCCTTAAGTTGGCCATGTGTTCATTTGTACAACCCTGGTTTTGGTTTATTGGGGTTTTTTTTTTGGTTTTTGTTTTTTTGTTTTGTTTTTGAGACAGAGTCTCACTTTGTTGCCCAGGCTGGAGTGCAATGGCGCAATCTCGGCTCACTGCAACCTCCACCTCCTGGATTCAAGTGATTCCCCTGCCTCAGCCTCCCCAGTAGCTGGGATTACAGGCACCTGCTACCACGCCCAGCTAATTTTTGTATTTTTAGTAGAGACGAGGTTTCACCATGTTGGCCAGGCTGGTCTCAAACTCTTGACTTCAGGTGATCCACCCACCTCGGCCTTCAAGTGCTAGGATTACAGGCGTGAGCCACCGCGCCCAGCCTGGGTTTTGTTTTAACTTTTTTTTTTTTTCTTTTTTTGGAGGAGGTGGGAGCTTTCCACCAGAAACTGGAAAGCCTGCTAGACAAATTCTAAAAGAGCTGTAACACTTTGTTTTTCATTCTAGTTTGTATGCATATATATTAAGTGTGTGTGTGTGTGTATATGTATATTATATATGGGGTGGTACATGAGATATTTTGATACAGGCACGCAGTGTGTAATAATCACCTCATATAAAATGTGGTAATCTATCTGCGATCCTGTGTAATAATAGCATGTTTATCATAAACAGTAATGTCAGTTACAAAGATCTGCATGTTCTAATAGAAATACATGTAAACTCGATACTCCCGCCCAGTTTGATGACGTGCTTCTGCTGTGAAAGGTACACTTGAACTGCGACAGCTCATTTCTCACGACCTGTACTATTTAAATTGTCGTTTTCATGTTCTCTCTCTCTCCTCTTTGGCCGAACATGTATATATTTGGATTCAGCTAAATTAAATACACATTTGATGAGTGCTACTACATTATTCATGTTTGCCTGTGTTGCTATTATTCCAAAATGTGAATTTTAATTACTATATATTATTCCATTTAACAAATGTGCCAACATTTAATTACCAAGACCTTTTTGTAGCATGTTCATAGTTATTCAGTATTATAAATAACTTATCACTTTATGTCTTTTTATATAAATCGCATCTGTGACAATTTCCTGAAATTGCTGGTTGAAAGTCTCATGTTCAAAGCTACGTTTTTGCCATGTTGGCTTCTAGAAGGATTGACCCAGTTTGTACTTTAGCCTCTAGTGGATACAAATGTCTATTTCACATAACTGCATTTCATATTTTTTAAAATATCCCTGGCATTTTGAGAATCAAAAATTAGTATCTAGGCTGAGGCGGATGGATCATGAGGTCAGGAGATCAAGACCATCCTGGCTAACACGGTAAAACCCCGTCTCTACTAAAAAAAGAATCAAAAAATTAGCTGGGCATGGTGGCAGGTGCCTGTAGTCCCAGCTACTTGGGAGGCTGACGCATGAGAATGGTGTGAACCTGGGAGGTGGATATTGCAGTGAGCTGAGATCGCGCCACTGCACTCCAGCCTGGGCGACAGAGCGAGACTCCATCTCAAAAACAAATAAGTAAATAAAAAATAGTGTCTCGTTGTAATGCATTCCTGTGCATGATGAATGTGTGGTCAAATCTCGAGAAAGTGGCGAGACTGACTGTGTGTTCTTCACAAGGACCTGGAAGAGCAGCTGGACGAGGAGGAAGGGGCTCGGCAAAAGCTGCAGCTGGAAAAGGTGACAGCAGAGGCCAAGATCAAGAAGATGGAAGAGGAGATTCTGCTTCTTGAGGACCAAAATTCCAAGTTTATCAAAGTAAGAGACTGTTCCCACAAAAAGCTGATTTTAGTTATGGAAAATATTTATATCATATGTTGATACGCTCATTGAAAGTGACCTCAAACAGAAAATTCTCAAGATTTTAAGTTCATTTACTGAATTTTCTCTGTAAATCTCTACTTGTATAGATTTCTAAAGACACAGGCACCACTGAATTTTTAAACCTTACCAAATATCCTGATAATCTTTTAGACTTTTAACGTGTGCATTTTGTGCCTGTTGGTCACTCAGTGATGACTTGTTTCCATCTGTGCAAGCATTAATTCATCCACCATTGGCTGTGGGACTCTGAACGCCAGGCAGCTGGGCCAGGCTCCCGGGGTGGGCACCAAGCCGTGTAAGCCTTTCTGCCCCTTTGGAGTACAGTCGTCTGTTGTTTAACAACGAGGACACAATCTGGGAAATGCATCGTGAAGTTACTTTATCCTCGTACGAACATCATAGAGTGTATTGACACAAACTAGACAGTAGAGCCTATTACACACCTAGACTAGACGGTGTGGCCGATTGCTTCTAGGCTGCGCACCTGTACGGCATGTTACTGTCCTGAATACTGCAGGCAGTTGGAACACAGTGCTAAGAAGTACTTGTGTATCTAGACATAGCCAAACAAAAGTCCAGTAAAAATATGATAGAAAAAGTACAGTAAAAACGATAGAAAAGATTTAAAATGGCACACCTCTATTGGGCACTCACCATGAACGGAGCTTGCAGGACTGGAAGCTGCTCTGGGTGAGTCAGTGAGTAAGCGCTGAGTGAATGTGAAGGCCCAGGACATTGCTGTACGTGACTGCAGACTTTATCAACATGGCACATGGAGGCTGCAGTACATGGATTTTAAAACCAGAGTCCATTGCACTGTGGTGCTATGACAGCTCTGATGAAGTTTTCAGCTCCATGATCATCTTAGGAGACCGCTGTCGTGTATCTGGTTCATCACTGTCCAGAACATCGTTCGGCAGCACGTGACTGCGTACAGTCTGCTGGGGGAGGCAGTGCCGGTCGTACTTGTTTTCTCTCGAGTCAAAGACAGTTGACCTTTATGAGGAATACAGAACCCCAGTGGTTATTCTGAATGGCTTTTCTGAAGCAGTCCATTTTTCCTGTCCAGGAAAAGAAACTCATGGAAGATCGTATTGCTGAGTGTTCCTCTCAGCTGGCTGAAGAGGAAGAAAAGGCAAAAAACTTGGCCAAAATCAGGAATAAGCAAGAAGTGATGATCTCAGATTTAGAAGGTTAGTGTCTGGGGCCAGAGGAATTGAGGACTAGGACATGCGAGTGTTTAGCTTTTACTGTAATCAGAACATGCAAAAATAAACAATATACATGGTGATTACTAACAATAAGGACCTTCAGTTTGGGTTGACTTATTAAAATTGGTCCCTTGGCTGGGCGCAGTGTCTCGGGCCTGTAATCTTAGCACTTTGGGAGGCTGAGGCAGGAGGATCGCATGAGGCCAGGAGTTTAAGACCAGCCTGGGCAGCATAGTGAGACCCCATCTCTACAAAAAAATTTACAAATTAGCCTGGCGTAGTGGTGTGCATCTGTAGTCCCATCTACTTGGAAGCTGAGGCAGCAGGACTGCTTGCACCCGGGAGCCCACCATAGTGAGCTGTGATCATGCCACTGCACTCCAGCCTGGGTCACAGAGGCAGCAGAATTGCTTGCGCCCGGGAGCTCACCATAGTGAGCTGTGATCGTGCCACTGCACTCCAGCCTGGGTGACAGAGGCAGCAGAATTGCTTGTGCCCAGGAGCTTACTGTAGTGAGCGATGATCGTGCCACTGCACTACAGCCTGAGTAACACAGCAAGACCCTGTCTTTAAAAAATAATAAAAAGGGCTCTTAAGGTTATTCTGTGTTGCCTTAGAATGATGATAAAATGGTTTTCCTTTTCCTTTTTCTTTTTTTTTAAGACACAGTTTCACTTTTGTTGCCCAGGCTGGAGTGCAGTGGCACAATCTTGGCTCACTGCAACCTCACCTCCCAGGTTCAAGCGATTCTCTTGCCTCAGCCTCCCAAGTAACTGGGATTACAGGCATGCGCCACCACACCTGGCTAATTTTGTGTTTTTAGTAGAGATGGGGTTTCACCATGTTGGTCAGGCTGGTCTCAAACTCCTGACCTTAGGTGATCCACCCACCTTGGCCTCTCAAAGTGCTGAGATTACAGACGTGAGCCACCGCGCCAGGCCTGGTTTCCCTTTTTTAACTTTGGTACTGTGGTAAAAGATAATTGCCCTTTGGTGGGCATGGTCGGGGTTAAGTTGTTTGGGTCCTACAGACCATTGTGTTTAATCTAAAGCTGCATTAAAGTGCCCAGATTTTACCTCACAAAGGGACTGGCCAGTGACATAAAAGCTGGCAGATACAGAGAAGACACTGCTGAGGGCCAAGCCACAGAGTAATATCAGGAAATCCTAGGACATTACAGCTTCTGCAAAAGAAATGAAAAGAGGATGGAAGTTGGAAAGAGCAGCTAGAGACTGCTACCATCACCAGAGGGAGGGAGGGAGCTCTGTGCAGGCGCCTGCAGGCAGATGCCCACTCTTTCTTAATGTGTGCGTTTATGACAGGAAGACAACGGGGTTGGCTTTTAAAAAATATTTGGGGTTTTATTTGTTTTAGTATAAACAAAAGAGGGAATGTCCTTATGAAATTACTTTCATAAGCCGGGCGTGGTGGCTCAAGCCTATAATCCCAGCACTCTGGGAGGCCGAGACGGGCGGATCACGAGATCAAGAGATCAAGACCATCCTGGCTAACACAGTGAAACCCCATCTCTACTAAAAATACAAAAAAATTATCCGGGCGTGGTGGCGGGCGCCTGTAGTCCCAGCTACTCGGGAGGCTGAGGCAGGAGAATGGCCAGAACCCTGGAGGCGGAGCTTGCAGTGAGCCAAGATCATGCCACTGCACTCCAGCCTGGGTGACAGAGCGAGACTCTGTGTCAAAAGAAAAAAAAGAAAAAGAAAAAGATATTACTTTCATAAACCATTTGTACTAGTATATGGTTCTTCTGCTGAGGAAGTACCCGTAAGCACATGTGCTTTTTCACTCACCTGTTTGATCAGGCTGTGACACTCGGTCTCATCCTCTCAGCACATTGGTTCCTGCTGGAGAACACAAAGGCATAGAGGTCGCTGTGAGGAAATAAATCATTCGGTGAAACAGATCACTAGGGCTAACTGGGGGATCGCTGCAGAATTTTAGAGGGGAGGGTGGAAAAGAGGCCTGGCCCTCTCTGCCCGCTCTTCTGTCTCCTCTCTCCCAGTACTTGAGGACGGCAGTTTTCTTGGTTCAGACCAGGGGTTCCCATGGAAAAGGGGATGGGGTGACAGGCAGCTACGATTGCTGCCCCAGCACCTGCTGAGCCACTTTGCAAACCTGGACACAGTGATGGGTTTGACATGAGAGGATTCTAGGCCCCTTCGGCTCTCACAGTGTGGTCTCACCTCCCATGAAAGGACATCCTTAGGACACTCAACTTCTTCCTTAAAATTCCCTCCTGACACTAATTTATCTCCCCTCCAGATCTCGGTGGGTTTGAAATGACTGAGCAGTTGACATCAGGGCATGACCATGTCATCAGGGCAGTGACATGCTTTTGAATAAAATGGCTTATTTTCAACTTGGCTCAGTCTGAATTTTAGTTTATTCCTGTGGTGAGTCACTCAGTGTGTTGAAGAACTTCTTATGTCTTGCCTTAAAGAACGCTTAAAGAAGGAAGAAAAGACTCGTCAGGAACTGGAAAAGGCCAAAAGAAAACTCGACGGGGAGACGACCGACCTGCAGGACCAGATCGCAGAGCTGCAGGCGCAGATTGACGAGCTCAAGCTGCAGCTGGCCAAGAAGGAGGAGGAGCTGCAGGGCGCGCTGGCCAGGTCTGCGGCCCCCAGCTATGCTGCATGGGAGCCCGTGGGGCTGAGTTTCAGCAGACTGTTATGTTCGGGAGCATCCAGAAACCCTGGGAGAGTGAGATGGGGTCTACTCGCTGTTGGGTGTGACCTGAGAGAGTGAAAAGTCCAGGCGTACAGATTTTGTGTCAGGGCAGCAAGAAAGTCTCATAAATCATCTCAATATTTATATTTAATATTTAATACTTTAAAATGACAAATTATATTATGAAACCCTTGGAAATTCATACCAGAACAAATTATTTCACCATAACAAATGTTTTGGTCTCTGTACATTACAGATTAACTGCAGTATGTTTTATTTATTTATTTATTTTGACATGGTGTCTCACTCTGTCACCCAGGCTGGAGTGCAGTGGTGCAATCTCGGCTCACTGCAAACTCTACTTCCTGGGTTCAAGCAATTCTCATGCCTCAGCCTCCCAACTAGCTGGGATTACACGTGTGCACCACCACACCAGCTAATTTTTGTATTTTTAGTAGAGATGGGGTTTCACCATGTTGGTCAGGCTGGTCCCAAACTCCTGATCCCAAGTGATCCACCCGCCTTGGCCTCCCAAAGTGCTGGGATTACAGGCATGAGCTACCACGCCCAGCCTGTAGTATGTTTTAGAACTTGAAGGGAAATCACTTTTCAGAAATTATATTTCTCCACTGAGAGCATGATTCAATAATCAGTTCTAAACCATTCAGTTTAGAATGCAAATCAGATGTAATAAATATGTCTAATGTTTCATTTCTTTATAAAGAATAACTATTTGGCTACATGGTTGTAATACTTGGAGTTTATAATGTGTTACAATCAAAATCTTACAAGAAAAATCTCCCTTACCTCAAACATCCCAACTATTCCCAATCAGAAAAATCTTCCAACATTTTAAACCACAGACATAAACAAGAAGATGCCCTATGGAAGAGAGGCACCTGGAGGGTGTGAGGATGAGAGCCTCTTTTTTCCACTGTGTTCTTTGAGCATCCCTGGTTTGGCTGGGTTCTGGTGTGTTCTCTGAGCATCCCTGGTTTTGGCTGGGTTCTGGTGTGATGGAGGTGGTCACTCCTTCATAGTTAGAAGCAGATTTTTAACTATAACAGCCTTTGACTTCAGAGTAAATGTTTTCGTATTCTAAGGGCTAAAGTAAGAGTGTCCTACCTTTTAATGGAGAAGCATGGTCGTTTGGAAAGGGGGCTGGGCTGGAATCTAGTTCTGGCTCTGCCATCATTAGCTTTGGGGCCTTCAGCAAGTCTTCTACCCAAGGACCTCCTCCTGCCCTCGCAGGTGTGGATCATCTGCACCAGCCTCAGGCCCCAGGAGGAGGGATGTGGGACTGGGGTCTCGTGGAGAGGTGCTCAGGGGCTGGGGCTCCCCTGAGAAACAGGCCATCCGGGCGCCGTCTCTGAGTGCCTCTTGTGCCCGGGTGTTTTAACAGAGGTGACGATGAAACACTCCATAAGAACAATGCCCTTAAAGTTGTGCGAGAGCTACAAGCCCAAATTGCGGAACTTCAGGAAGACTTTGAATCTGAGAAGGCTTCACGGAACAAGGCCGAAAAGCAGAAAAGGGACTTGAGTGAGGAACTGGAAGCTCTGAAAACAGAGCTGGAGGACACGCTGGACACCACGGCAGCCCAGCAGGAACTACGGTGAGTGTGGGAGAGGGAGCAGGGCCCGGGCGCCTGCCAACCTCTCCACCGAGCCCGCACAGAGATGCCTGGTGTGCTTGCTGTCTCTGAGAGGTGGTGTGCTTTTCCTCGTGATGGCAGGTGGAACGGTGATTAAATAGTAATGGTTAGAAACAGACCAGCCTATGGGTAGAAACACCTGTGCAGGGTACCCCACTTCAGCAGAGTAACTGATGTTAGTAGTGTGAGTCCTAGGGTAGACAGCAGACTGAGGGACACAGAGTGAGAGGGTGTGATCAGAAAAGCTGTGGTCAGTGATGGATGTCTAGGGAGGGACAGTGACAGCTACACACAGAGGGGAGCAGTGAAAAGAGATTTATAGATAGATAGGACCAGAGGGAGAAGGGTAAACACAGGAATAGGAGGAGATACCCAGGAGGCCAGGCACTTATGCTGGCAGTGCCAGGTGGTGTGAACGGTGTAGGTAACCAGCTGAAAAGGGAAGGGTGCCTTCACAAGGGTGAGAAGAAGGCTGGTGCAGGCACTGGGACAGAGGTGTGCAGTGGGCAGAGGCATATGCAGCAGCATGAGCCAGCAGCCGGGGCGGGCATGAAAAAGGTGACAAGCATAGGTGAACATGGCCAGAGAAGGCTCCCGGGTAGAAAACTGCAGCATGGCAGCCCGCGAGTCGCAGGAGAGCCCTAGCGGTGAGCCGGTGCGCAGGCCTGGAGGTGCCGGCCCGCTGCTCCCACGGACTCATAGGTGTCGTCACTGTGGAGAGCAGTGTGGGGGGTGTGCCAGCTTGCTGTCCTGGCAGAGGCCGTCTGCTCCCTCCCACACTCACACTGCCAAGTGCCTCAGGGCCACCCCAGGAGTCCCAGCCAGAAGGGAACCCTCGCCGCCTTGGCTGGCTGCAGGCACACCTGCTGGCTCTTCCAGGGTGTGAATGATGGAAAGAATAGCCCGTCACCCTGGGGAGCTGCTGGGGCCTGAAATAAAGCAAGAAAGACAGAGGGAATTATTTATGAACGCAAGTGTGGCCAGAGAGGCCGAACATGACCCAGAGCAACCAGGAGGGACATGGGTTGTGGTGAAAACCAGTGCATTTCCCCGGAGGACACGGATGTCATCAGCTGGGTCCACCCAGCAGCTGGAAACCTGGGCGCTCGGTCGTGGAAAGAATGACATCGTGGTGTCCACAGGGCAGGCCGGCTCGGTAGAGCAGCGAGACTGAGGTCAGATGGTGGGTGTGGGGGACTCTCCATGCTGGAGAGCAGAGGGGTGCGCCTTGGAATGTTGGCCATGATCCTGGCCATGAACATGGACAGCTACGGCAGCCGGACAGAGGTTGGTTGGGTTTTGTCTTCCATTTTTTCCCAGAGAGAGGAAAACCCCATCTGAGCCAGGTATGGTTCGAGACTTCCTACCCCACTTTTTTATTTTATTTTATTTTTTATTTTTTATTTTTTTGAGACGAAGTTTCACTCTTATTGCCCAGGCCGGAGTGCGATGGTGCGATCTCGGCTCACGATAACCTCCGCCTCCTGGGTTCAAGCGATTCTCCTGCCTCAGCCTCCTGAGTAGCTGGCATTACAGGTGCCTGCCTCCATGCCTGGCTAATTTTGTATTTTTTAGTAGAGATGGGGTTTCTCCATGTTGGTCAGGCTGGTCGCGAACTCCCGACCTCAGGTGATCCACCTGCCTTGTCCTCCCAAAGTGCTGGGATGATAGGCGTGAGCCACCGCGCCCGGTCCTTACCCCACTTTAGCAGAGTAACTGCTTTTCGTAGTGTGAGTCCTAGACTTCTCTTTGATATGTCTGCTTTTTTTTTTTTTTTTTTTTTTTTTTTTTTTTTTTTTTTTTTAATTTATTTATTATTATTATACTTTAAGTTGTAGGGTACATGTGCATAACGTGCAGGTTTGTTACATATGTATACTTGTGCCATGTTGCTGTGCTGCACCCATCAACTCGTCATTTACATCAGGTATAACTCCCAATGCAGTCCCTCCCATGTCTGCTTTTTTAAAATCTAGAAACCACTGAACTAGACTTGGCTGAACTCTCCACTCCCAGCTGGGCTTTTGACTGCAATAGAAAATAAGGTTCTGATCATTTTTCCATCCAACCCTTGCAAAAAAATAAATGCGCATATTTATTAAAACCATGCCTATGCTCAGCTGTAGCACCTACTGATTCTGTTTTGCCTGTAGCTCAGACGTGTCCTCCATTCTTGCTAAGGACCCTTAAGAGAATGCAAACCACCCTCCCTGGGCCCTAGTTCTTCCCATGATTAGTATAAAGTAATAGTCCTCTGTAAATCATCTACTCTTCTGCAGACGCACTGGCATTTTAACTTTCTTGAGGACTTTTGACGAAAGACTCAAATAAATTGGCTTGTTCAGCCTGGAGAAGGTGAAGGTTTCCTTTGACCATTGGGTTCAAGCAGGGACGAGGAACACACACACACAAAACTATTTTCCCAAAAGACAACGTGCTGCTAGTTGGAGAGATTTCCCTAGAGTCTGACCAATGAAGCACTGGCCACTAGAGTGAGCTGAAATAATCTCGATGGGAGCCTTGTAGAGGACAGGACCAGACCAGCACGTCTTTGACCTCTGGCTGGGCCAGTGGAACTTGGGGCTGAGCTAGGCTGGACCGCAAAGAATCCTCAGTGATTCCTTCTGGCTGGGCTACATGTGACCATGGAGCTGGCAGCCACCAGGCCCTGTTCTCTTGGCACAGGGATCTCTCAGCCAGCCCCTGCATCTCGTGACTCCATGAGAAGAGAGGTGAAGAGAGGGAAAATGTGTCCACATGGGAATCAGTGTGTGAATCACTGTTCTAAGTTGTGACATGTTATAAAGTATAGAGCAAGCTTGCTAGAGATGTGCTTCAGGATTAGTGTGAGGTTGTAGCTAATTCAACAGTGCTAATATAGGTCTTAGCAGGAGCACTGTTTACCTGACTGGCTTCCGTCTTCATCAAGCTCGTGCTTAAACACGGTGCTCAGATTAACAAATTTAGAGTGACTCGCCATGGGGAGTAAGATCTCTTCTAGAAAGTGAATAACTCTGGTTATTCAAGTTACCCTGTATTTGTTACAGCCAATTTTAAAAATATTAGAAAGCCATGGAAAGATACTTAATGCTAATGTGACCTTCATACCGTAAAGTGTAGGTTAGATAAAACCAGTTTATGTCAGAACATTCCAATTCTATGGCCATGGACCTGCTGTGTTCTCATATCAAACATCAGAGATCCTTTCTGAACCCTTTGAGCTGCCTTTTAATTTTCCTGCTCCTCCAAAAGATAACGCCCTCCTCCCCAACCTCAAGCCATTTTCTAGTAGAGTTTTGGGAGGATGTTAGTTAGTTCATTGTGGCTTCTTCACATGAATGTTAAGAGTCTTGCTTTGTTACAGTGCAACGTCCTGATTCATTTGGCCTTTGCCACCGCTTCACTTTTGAAAATCTCTGGGAGACTCCCTTTTTCCAGTTTTATTCAATTCTGTTGGGCTATGTCAGGCAGTTTGGCATCTTGTGTTAACCAATTCCTGACCTCCAGTGAAACCAGACTGCCCAGAACAATTTGAAGACCCCCTAGGGATGTCACCCTGTGTCTTGATAAGTCAGATATGGCAGGGAAGTTGCACTGGTTTTTGTTTTGTTTGGTTTTTTTTTGGTTTTTTTTTGGGGGGGGGGTTGTTTGTTTTTTTTTAAAGATAGGGTCTCACTCGCCCATGCTGGCGTGCAGTGGTACAGTCATAGCTCATTGTAGCCTCAACCTCCCAGGCTCAAGCGATCCACCTTAGCCTCCCAAATTGCCAGGATTACAGGCATGAACCACTACTCAGCTCTCTAGGAGGATTTCTGATATCACAGTAATAGACCTGCCGGCCTACTGGAAATAGCACATCAAATATTTATTAAAGGAATTTATGTAATATTTAAAACAAAAACAGTACTTTTTCAAAAAGAAAATGTGTTTCTAATCAGTCAGCTAATTCTGATCTCTCTTAAAAAATGTCCTTCTCTAGTACAAAACGTGAACAAGAAGTGGCAGAGCTGAAGAAGGCTCTTGAGGAGGAAACTAAGAACCATGAAGCTCAAATCCAGGACATGAGACAAAGACACGCAACAGCCCTGGAGGAGCTCTCAGAGCAGCTGGAACAGGCCAAGCGGGTAAGGGAGACCCTGCCGTGTGCTGTGGCCTGGAGAAAATCCACCAGCAGACCCACTCCCATCCTATCTGCCCGTTCTGTTCAGTCAGGTATTGATTATGCTCCAGCCTCTACACGTCATTGAGTGGGCTGCTGGGTACCCAGCTGCCAAGGCAGGAGCGGCTTTCTGAAAACACACTGTCTACTTAGGGAAAAAAGCCAGATGCAAATGCACGGATCCAGCCGCCATCTCAAATCACACAGTCCTCCCCAGTGTCTCCTCTCACTAAGTCCTTCTCCCAGTGGCTTCACTCAAAACCCTGAATGATTTGAAAGTCATTCTTCCCTTACTTGTCTGCTGCCAGTAAGTCACAAGTCCCGCCACTGTTCCCCTTCAGGGGTTCCTGACATTCATCTCTCCCTTCGTGTCCTTCCCTGCCTGTGATCTCACCACAGCCACCAAGCAGTCTTGCCTTTCATTCATTGTTCCTGCTTCTGTATCTCAGACATAGGCTTTCCGTTCTGCTGAAACTGAATTTCATGTGCCCTGTGACTCATGCCACCCCCCTGTGCAGACTGGCCTCCATGACTTCCCATAATCATCCTTGCCTTTGTGACTTGGTTCTTGCTCCGGTTTCCCCATCTCTCTGTTCTTTGCCTAGCCACATGCCACCTTTTAATTTAGACAATGACAATATTAACATTTACAGAACATTTACATTTGTGTCAGGTACTGTGCTAAGTACCCTACGTGAATTGCCTTCCTTAATCTTGGTTACAACCCTGTGGCACAGTCTCCTATAATTCTCATTTAAGAGACAAGGAAACTGAGGCCCAGCGGTGTTAGGTAATTAAGCCGGGGTCACACAGCTGGTTCGTGGAAAGGCAGCCTGAGGCCAGACAGTCTGGCCCAGATTCCCATGTGACCACCTTACTACACCCAATCGTGTCCCTGAGGCAAGGTGTCATTGGAGACACATCCTGTTGTGACCACCCTGCACCAGGGGTGCTTGCTCATGTTAGTACATGTAAAACAGTTTTTACAGTAACAACACTTGTTTTATACAAAGGACAGTGTGAGTGAGTACGCTGCAGACACGACACTTGGCATCGACAAGGATCATTACTTAGCACAGTGAGCCCCTAACTACCTGCATCTGCTCCTCAGAGCAGTACGTACGCGTGTGTTCCTTACACAGAAATCCTCACATTCAGAGAACAGCAAACATTTTCATTCATTCATTCATTCAACAAATGTTGATCACAGGCTTACTGTGTGTTAGGCACAATTCCGCAGACTCAAAAAGCACTCCTCTGTATGGAGTTTTAGAAAATAGTGAATTATGTTTTCCCTTCCGTCTCCTAGTTCAAAGCAAATCTAGAGAAGAACAAGCAGGGCCTGGAGACAGATAACAAGGAACTGGCGTGTGAGGTGAAGGTCCTGCAGCAGGTCAAGGCCGAGTCTGAGCACAAGAGGAAGAAGCTCGACGCGCAGGTCCAGGAGCTCCACGCCAAGGTCTCCGAAGGCGACAGGCTCAGGGTGGAGCTGGCGGAGAAAGCAAGTAAGCTGCAGGTAAGCCAGAAACCTCCGCTCTACACACATCCCACCGTAGCATGTCCCTAATTTACCATTGTATCCCTCTGTGCAATCAGAGACCCACAGCCAGCGTGCTGCGTAATACCTGACAATTGCTGTCCAGTAAATACATCGAGTCTTAGGTGTCCCTAGTGTCTATTACTTCGATGAAGTTAAATAATTCTTATTTTAAGAAGAAGACAGCATGAATTGGACTTGATCAGTTCCACCTTGAATCGTGTTTATAGTTGCTTGAACAGTTTTAAGCACTTCAGCTTCTCCTTAGTCCAGTAAATAATAGGAACAATAGGCCAAAAAAATTATACTTCACATTGGCAAAGATTTGCAAGAGTTTTATTTCTTTACACTGCTGGTATGCAACCTTTTTTTTTTTTTGAGACAGAGTCTTGCTGTCGCCCAGGCTGAAGTGCAGTGGCGCAATCTCTGCTCACTGTACCCTCCATCTCCCGGGTTCACCCTATCCTCCTGCCTCAGTCTCCCGAGTAGCTAGGACTATAGGCGCCTGCCACCACGCCCGGCTAATTTTTTGAATTTTTAGTAGAGACAGGGTTTCACCACGTTAGCCAGGATGGTCTCGATCTCCTGACCTCATGATCCGCCCGCCTCAGCCTCCCACAGTGCTGAGGTTACAGGCTTGAGCCACTGTGCCCGGCCTAGTGCAACCTCTTCTAAAGGACAGTTTGGCAGTCTTAGATCACGAGCCTTAAAACTGGGAGTATCCTTAGACCCGAAAAATCCACGTCTAGTCATTTATCCTAGGGAATTAACTAAGGATGTACACACAGAGTCAACTTCAAGAATGTTCATTGCAGAAGTGTGTACAAAAGTATAGTCAGCCCTCAGTATCCACTGGGGCATTGAATCCAGGACCTCCTGCAGATACCAAAATCTGCTGATGCTGGAGTCCCTAATAAAAATGGCATAGTATGGGGCCGGGCATGGTAGTTCACACCTGTAATCCCAGCACTTTGGGAGGCCAAGGTGGGCGGATCACCTGAGGTCAGGAGTTTGAGACCAGCCTGGCCAACATGGTGAAATCCCATCTCTAGTAATAAATACAAAAAACTGGCCAGGTGTGGTGTTGCACACCTGTAATCCCAGCTACTTGGGAGGCTGAGGCAGGAGAATTGCTTGAATCCAGGGAGGTGGAGGTTGCGGTGAGCCAAGATCATGCCACTGCACTCCAGCCTGGACAACACAGCAAGACTCTTATCTCAAAAAAAAAAACAAAGGCGTAGTATTTGCATGTATGCACATCCTCCCATATACTATAAATCATCTCTAGATCACTTATAATACCTAAGACGATGTAAATGCTATGTAAAAAGTTGTTAGACTGTATTTTTTAGGAAATAACGACCCAAAACAGTCATGGTTTTAGGAAATCACCCGAAAGAGTCCTGAACTATACATGGTCAGTGCACATGCAGGGGTTTTTTCTGAATTTTTCTTTTTTGTTTTTTTGAGACAGAGTCTTGCCTCTGTCGCCCAGGCTGGAGTGCAGTGGCGCGATCTCAGTTCACTGCAAGCTCTACGTCCCAGGTTCACGCCATTCTCCTGCCTCAGCCTCCCGAGTAGCTGGGACTACAGGCGCCCGCCACCACGCCCGGCTAATTTTTTGCATTTTTAAGACAGAGTCTTGCCTCTGTCGCCCAGGCTGGAGTGCAGTGGCGCGATCTCAGTTCACTGCAAGCTCTACGTCCCAGGTTCACGCCATTCTCCTGCCTCAGCCTCCCGAGTAGCTGGGACTACAGGCGCCTGCCACCACGCCCGGCTAATTTTTTGCATTTTTAGTAGAGACGGGGTTTCACTGTGTTAGCCAGGATGGTCTCCATCTCCTGACCTCGTGATCCACCCACCTTGGCCTCCCAAAGTGCTGGGATTACAGGCGTGAGCCACCACGCCTGGCCCTTTTCTGAATATTTTTAATACATGTTTGGTTGAATCCACAGATGGAACCTATGGATAGGAAGGGCTGACTGTGATTGGAAATAACTTTAATGTTTAATACGGACTTCTATGCATCCAGCAAAAACAATATAGTCAATGAGTCCCTTTTGGTAAGAAAAGATGTACATCCTATATTGCCACATTGAAAAAGCATTACAGAGCTGTGTTGTGTCAGAGGCCCAAGACCACATTACAGTACATGATTCTCCAGGGCTCCAGGACTCAGCAGAGAGGCCTGCCCGTGGCACACTGCGCTGTGGCTGTGCCGCCATCCACCTTCCCTCAGCTGGTGTGATGAGGACAGGCAAGAACCCACGGTGCCCTGCTGCCCCTCTGCATCCCTCTGCTTCTTCCCAGCGCCAACTGTCATCAAAAATTATAAAGCATCTTATACCATGAAGATTTGTTTGGAAAATATTTTAGAAATATTAATTGAGAAGGAAAAAATATTATTCATTAAATCTGACCATAAGAAATAGCTTAAATATTCATGATGAATATATAATACCAGTTTTTTAAAACCTTAAAGAACTTCCGGCCGGACGTGGTGGCTCACGCCTGTAATCCCAGCACTTTCGGAGGCCGAAACCTTGTCTCTACTAAAGATACAAAAAATTAGGCGTGGTGGCGCACAGCTGTAATCCCAGCCACTCAGGAGGCTTAGGCAAGAGAATTGCTTGAACCCAGGAGGCAGAGGTTGCAGTGAGCCAAGATCGTGCCACTGCACTCCAGCCAGGGCGACAGGGCAAGACTCTGTCTCAGAAAAAAAAAAAGAAACTCTCTTGTTTCCCTTTTATAGAAGCCTCAAGTTCTATAAGAATGTGAATTATACTTTCCTCCCAAAGCACATGGTTAACGCATCTTCATGTGAAGGAGCACCAAAATCAAGCACCTGCTGGCCTTTCAGCCTCCCCACAGAGGATACAGTCACTCTTCCAAAGGCTTTGCTTTAATTTTCGTCTCTTCATGATAAAAATAGAAGGTAGAAAACCAGTTAGGAGACCCCCCGCCGCCCCATCCTTTCCATGGGTAGAGACTATTAAGGTAGCCAGGGAGGCAGGTTCTAGTACCTACTTATTTGAGCTCTGTTTGAAGGCAACAGACTCTTGGTGGTGAGTCTTCCTTAATTGAATGGGTAGTTTCAGGTTCACACTGCCCCCCAGTTCTTCTCTATTTGTGTTCGGTTTAAAAGCTGTGTTTCTAGACCCTTTCTGCTCGCTTACTTTTGAGTTGAATTTAATCTTTTGCTCCTTACAGAATGAGCTAGATAATGTCTCCACCCTTCTGGAAGAAGCGGAGAAGAAGGGGATTAAATTTGCTAAGGATGCAGCTAGTCTTGAGTCTCAACTACAGGATACACAGGTATTCCACGGGGAACAAGGGGTCTTTCAATAACTAACATTTCTGTAGTATTTAAGCTGGTGAAATATGCTGGCCCCAGAGTTGTCTTCTATGTCACCTCTTACTAGTTTTATGTCATACTTTCATTTGGAGCCAGGCTTGCTACTCAGGATTTCTCCCTGGAAGCTCAGTGTCTTAATGTAGAGCCTCTGGGGTTCCTGTGTCCGGCAGGCATGTGGGTGGCCTCGGAGGCAGCTCCACCTGCCATTCACTGCCGCCGCCTGGGCAGTGGTTTACCCAAGCCATGGTCCTGCACACAATGTCTTGCTGGCCGTTTTAGATAAGATTGTTTCATTATGGTTGGAATTTCATTGTGCTGACCTGTGGGAAACAGTCCATTTTGTAAAAGGGTGAGTTGAGGCTTGCTTATCAGATGGTTAAGACCTGCACCGCATCATCCGTTAGGGATGTTTTTAAGTCAGCTACAGGTTACTTGAAAATAATGTAGCACTTTATTCTTGGAGTTTTACAGCTTAATTTTGTTAAATTTACAAACATTTATGAGTGTTTATTTGTCAGGCTTTAGGCTAGGTGCTGGGGATTAAAAAAAAATCTCAGGCCGAAAGTGGAATGATTAGGCAGCTGGGGATAAATTCATTTTAACTGAAGCATACCATGCATGACAAGGCACGGCCTGGTGAGTGAGACTAGAGGAGGCCAGAGCCAGAGCCCAGAAATTCTGCTCCACACAACTAATGCCTCTGAAGATTTCCCAGTCTGAAAGTAACAGGAAAGACATGTTTGTGCTTACATTTTAGAAGCCAGTCTGGCAGGAAATATAAAGGAGGGAATGCCTAAGATGGGAGAGGTGATCCCAGGGTGAAGGGCTGAGGGCCTGAACTAAGACGGGGCAGGGGATAGAGAGGAAGGGATTCCAGGCGTGACTGAGGAGATGCAGGGTGTGGTGGGGGATGCAGGAGGGGAGGCCTCAGGGATGCCTGGAGGCTCCAGCCTGGGCCCTTGGGTGGACGGCGCCGCCATTCATTCTTCAGGGATCAGTCTGAAGCAGTGTTGGTGTGAAAAACTTTTACAAAGTTACTGTGTGTGTTTTTAAATCGTCTGTGTGTGTTAATGTCACTGGGTATTCTCATGCACTGAGGCACTCTCTTATGACATGAATTCTTTAATACAGGTGTATTTGTTTTGGTGATAAATATAACGGAAGTGTTGCCCTTTTAAAAAAAAATACACAGGAGCTTCTTCAGGAGGAGACACGCCAGAAACTAAACCTGAGCAGTCGAATCCGGCAGCTGGAAGAGGAGAAGAACAGTCTTCAGGAGCAGCAGGAGGAGGAGGAGGAGGCCAGGAAGAACCTGGAGAAGCAAGTGCTGGCCCTGCAGTCCCAGGTGTGCGTCCTCTTTAGGAAGCCACGGTGGCCTCGATGTGTGTCTTTAGCAGCTCCTGGCCCTGCTTTGCCGGGCTGTCTCAACTCCATTTGGGACAGTTAATTAGGTTGTACTAAATTAAGCCCATTAAATGGTTTTGCTTTGACCCAGCCACATGCTGGTTATAATGCTGGAAGCCCTTAAAATAAGGACCTAGGACTGTGTCAACGATGTAAAATTTCAATCCAGTTATCATTTTAATAGACTGTTAGCTAAGAAATTAAGTAGTGACCGTCTAAGATTCATTTATTTTAAAATCACAGTATTGATTTTTCTTCTCTCAAAATATTAAAAACAAAAGTTTTCTTCTTTTTTCTTCAAATTCAAAAACTAATTGAGTTCTTATTTTTTCTTTTTTTTTTTTTTGAAACAGAGTCTCACTCTATCGCCCAAGCTGGAGTGCAGTGGCATGATCTCAGCTCACTGCAACCTCCACCTCCTGGGCTCAAGTGATCCTCCCACCTCAGCTTCCCCAGTAGCTGAGACTACAGACAGGCGATTTTTGTATTTTTAGTAGAGATGAGGTTTCACTATGTTGGCCTGGCTGGTCTCGAACTCCTGACCTCAAGTGATCTGCTCGCCTCGGTCTCCCAGAGTGCTGAGATTACAGGCGTCAGCCACCATGCCCAGCCCCAATTGAGAACATTAATACTTTGTTTGTCCTTACACAAAACCTAGTTGGCTGATACCAAGAAGAAAGTAGATGATGACCTGGGAACAATTGAAAGTCTGGAAGAAGCCAAGAAGAAGCTTCTGAAGGACGTGGAGGCCCTGAGCCAGCGCCTGGAGGAGAAGGCACTGGCATATGACAAACTGGAGAAGACCAAGAACCGCCTGCAGCAGGAGCTGGACGACCTCACAGTGGACCTGGACCACCAGCGCCAGGTCGCCTCCAACTTGGAGAAGAAGCAGAAGAAGTTTGACCAGGTGGGTCGGCCATGCGTCGTTTCCTCCTGGCAGGGCTCTTGCTTTTGTTCATATGGTTTAAAATAATCTTATTTAAAGGCAATTAAATGGGATACATATTTATATCAAAATTGGAAAAAGGGGGGAAGCAAAAAAAAAGGAAATACAAGAACACCATAATCTAATGGCAGCACTCTGGCGACACATCAGCCACGCATTGGAAGAGAAAAGCTGATGCCGCTGTTTCGGCTTTTCATGTTCCCCCATCCCCTTGTGCACAGCTGTTAGCAGAAGAGAAGAGCATCTCTGCTCGCTATGCCGAAGAGCGGGACCGGGCCGAAGCCGAGGCCAGAGAGAAAGAAACCAAAGCCCTGTCACTGGCCCGGGCCCTTGAGGAAGCCCTGGAGGCCAAGGAGGAGTTTGAGAGGCAGAACAAGCAGCTCCGAGCGGACATGGAAGACCTCATGAGCTCCAAAGATGACGTGGGGAAGAACGTAAGTCGCTGGCGGGGTCCACACTTCCGCATGGGAGAGCATCCCAGGGGCCTGGGCCTTCACACGGGAGCAGGCGGCTCCTTGGGGGTGCCTGAAGGACCTACAGCCCAGCCACGAAGCCATCTAGGAGTGCTTAGGCCTGTGCGTGAGGAGGGGGTTCAGGTCTTCTGGGACCGTTGTCAGGTTCTCTGCAATCTCCCCCCAGCTCTGGCTGGAGGTGAACGTGTTTCTTCTTCCTTTCACTGCCCTCCCTGCCCCAGCCTACACCCTGGCAGGGGGGCCTTTCAACAAAAGGTGTCATGGTTCTGCCGTCACAGGTAGTTGTCAAACATGAGGTGAGTGGGGACCTGGAGAGGAGGAGGAGGAGGAGGGAATGGCAGTTCCCTCTGACCCGGTTCTTCCCAGGGAGGCCCCACTGTTTTCTTGGAGAGCTTCAGTAGCTTTGGGGGCTTCTCCACAGCTTAGAAGCTTCTGTGGCACAGTTTCTCTTTCCATTGCATACATCTTCCACAGGAGCTGCCATGACACTTACTGACCCTACGTCTCTCCCTTAGCGTATGACGTGTTGAAGATAGCAAAACAAAGCCAGGCCTGGTGTCAAAGGCAAGGTTCCCTGGCTCCTCCACAGGCTTCCATTCTGACCACGGGAAGCCACTTAAGCTTTTGAAGCCTAAGTTTCTTTATCTGCCAGAGGGACATTATACTTGCCCAATTTCATGAAGTTACTGCATCTGCTTTGAAAAGCACAAAGTCCTCTAAAAAGGTAGGGTCTCATTTTCATGGGCTATGGGCCATCTGGCCACATTATACCTCAGCGAAGTGGTCCCTCCTTCCTGCTGGGTCTCCTACAACTTGGCACCCAGGGACTAGCCCCATGGACAAGAAGAGGCCACTGAAAGTAGAAGTGGCCATGGTTACACAGTGAAATGTGGAGAACGCTACAGTTGACTTCATGTTCGTTTTCTGTAGCATCAACACTCACACGTTTATCCCACAAACATGTCTTTTGTGCCTACTGAGCACCAGACACTGTGTAGAAATGGGCCTTCCTCCTGTCCTAAGATTCTCCACGCCTGTCCCTGTGAGAACTGCGGTGGTCCTGGACCCCAGAGCGGGTGCACAGCAGCACCAAGGCCTCCCTCCAAAGGCTGCCACGATAATCAAAGGGCACAGGAGGTGAAGCTCTCAGCACAGTGCTTGGCGCAGAGAATGAGGGAAAGGGTGCTGGGGGGATCTTTGCCCAGAGAAAGATCAAGGCCTCTGTACTGTGCCCTGCTTGTTAGGCCGAAGCCACCCGAATAGTCAGCAGTTTCCACATGTGCTTTTCAATACGAATGATCTTTTCTACAGCAAGAAGAGGTGTGCTGTCATACTTGCTCCTCACAGACAGCAGGCAAGGGGTCAGTCAACAGACAGGTTCCCTGACATGGCTGTTTCCTTTGTTCTTTGGCTCACTGAAGAACTCTCAGCTTAGAGGTCATCAGAGGAGGATGACCAGAGAACATGTGTGAATAAAGAAATCTGCACTGTAGTTCTGAGCTGCATACACTGAAATGGAGAATAGCAGCAGCCTTCGGGGGAGAGGGAAGGATGTGTGTGCCTGTGGCAGGGGGCCGGCCCAGGGGGACCAAAGTGGCCAGCATGCCACAAGTGGGCCTGTAAAACAGGAAGACTGCTGTTCTTCCCACGTGCCTCCGCCCAGGTCAACTCTTTCCTGATGCTTCGGTGGTTTAGGTTCACGAACTTGAAAAATCCAAACGGGCCCTGGAGCAGCAGGTGGAGGAAATGAGGACGCAGCTGGAGGAGCTGGAAGACGAACTCCAGGCCACGGAAGATGCCAAGCTTCGTCTGGAGGTCAACATGCAGGCCATGAAGGCGCAGTTCGAGAGAGACCTGCAAACCAGGGACGAGCAGAATGAAGAGAAGAAGCGGCTGCTGATCAAACAGGTAGGGCAGAAGGCACAGCCTCCACGACAAGGGGTGCAGGCTCTCAAAGCCCAGCTCTGGGTCAGTATCCTGTTCATTCATGTTAGAACACATCTGAGTAAACACAGAGTAACACAGAGAGTAAAATGAATTTATTTGGTCATTTGAGAATTTTATTATTTAAATGTTATTGTAATTAGTTTAGGTTTTTCTGTTCCTCAGACAGTATCATTGCTGCTTGCACTTATCAATTAGAAAGCCCTCAGTGGACTCCCAAAGGAATCTGTGGTTAGGTTCAAGCTCCTTGTCTTAGAATGTGGGTATAGGAAAGAATTGATGCATCCCAGACACAGTGATTTGGCAGATGTCTGCGGTTCAGATCTCAAGTCCTAATAATTAGATCACTCTTCAGAAGGAAAAAGAGCAGATATTTAAATTTGTCATTTTATAAAGTTGTTATCCATGTATAAATTGTATACTTTTCTGAATGTATATTAGACACTTTTCTGCATGTATGTTAAATTTATAGTCTCAAACTTTAAATATGAATTGTGGATATTTTGCCAGTCCCTTCCAGTTCATGGCAATAAGTCTTGGATTTGGCGGGGGTGGGGGTGTGTGTGTTTTGAGACGGAGTCTCGCTCTGTCACCCAAGCTGGAGTGCAGTGGCACGATCTTGGCTTACTGCAACCTCTGCCTCCCAGGTTGAAGTGATTCTTCTGTCTCAGCCTCCCAAGTAGCTGGGACTACAGGCACACGCCATCATGCATGGCTAATTTTTGTATTGTTAGTAGAGACGGGGTTTCATCGTGTTGGCCAGGCTGGTCTCAAACTCCTGGACTCAGGTGATCTGCCCATCTTGGCCTCCCAAAGTGCTGGAATTACAGGCATGAGCCACCGTGCCCAGCCAGATGTGGGATATATTTAATTTTGCTTTATTTTGTTATTTTCACTCCACTAATTATTGGTCATTTATTGCTGGATAACAAATTACCCCAAACTTAACAAATTATTGCAAACTGTGACAACATTTATGTCACAGTTTCTGTGTGTGAGGAATTGGGAAGCGATTGAGTCAGTGGTTCTGGTACAGTCAGGACCTTGGCCCTGGCTGCATCATCTGAAGGCCCGACCGGGGCTGGAGGAGCCGTGCCAAGCTGGCTCACACATGTGGTGTCAGCAGGAGGCCTTGGCAGCTTGCCACATGGGCCTCCTGAGTGTCCTGGAGGAGCTTCAGGAGAGAGAGATCCAAAAGAAAGCAAGCAAGGAGGAAGCTTCCGGGCCTTTTATGACCTAATCTCCCAAGTCTCATGTGATCACTTTTTTATTCTGTTTGTCAGAAGCGAGTCACCAAGTCTGGCCCACATTCAAAAGGAGATTATGCTCTAACTCCTTAAGGTGGGGAGTATTAAAGAATTTGTAGACATTTTTTTAAACCACCACACTTTGAAATTCATGTTAAGTGGCTCTACATTAGGTGCCTCCTGCTATCCTGTGCCTTGAGGTATAGCCCCAGGTCTCTGCAGAATTCAGCAAGTAGATGACGAGCGCCTCTGCATTATGCGGAAGCAGCTGCCCTGCTCCTCGTCTCCCATGCCAACCCCTGCAGAGGAGCAGCAGCAGGGGCCCTGTTTCTCCCCTTTGGAGAGGACCAGTGGAGCCACCACTTGTCAAGCCTTGGTGCCTCCATACCAGCTCCCACACCACCCATCAGCCTCTTAGCAGGAAGCGGAAGCTCTGTGAAGGCAGGGACCTTTCCTTGCTCACCTGAGCCTCCAGCTGCTAGAACACTACCTAGGGCATAGGTATTTATTAAGGTATTTATGACCTATACCTTAATAAATGCATGACAAAGCATTTATTTGTGGCTAAATAAGTGGACAAAGCAGGACAGGTTGAGGAGGCCATGTCAAGGCAGTGACACATGGTCCCTGTAGACTCAGGCTGATAAGGTTTGGAGCTCAGCAGCTTCGTGTCTGGTCCCCGTCATTGGTGACGGAGGCGTTGGGATTTGGTTTAAGGACTCCAGAGCACCTTCTTCTGAGCATCCCTCAGACAGTGTGAGCGTAGGGCCCCATCCCCATGCACACTAGGAGGCTCACTGAGCGAAGAGTGCCGCAGAGTGAGTGAGTGGCTGACAGGTGTGTCCCCCTCAGTTTCCTGCCCACATCTTACTCATCCTCACGCTCCCATCTGTCTGCTCCAGAGCTGGCCTTCATTTCATCCCTCCTCCATTGGACAGCTTTGACTGCTCCCCCCTTCCTGCTTATCAAAGGCAGTTTCTGTGTGGTTCTGGCACCCTTGTAACTTGGCCATGCCCCACGTCCTCACAGCTCTAGGAAACAGGCATGCCCGCTTAGTCCTCTGCACCTCTTAGCAACCACCCCATGCCCACTCTGTGCCTACTCCAGCCTTTATTACATGGTTACCGCATTTGTCTCGGGTCTTTCCATCTTGGGTTCATCTACACTGTGAGCTCAGGTCCCTGGCTGCCTTCTCGTGCCCTCGCAGCAGTCAGTGGGATGGTTTGTATTAGGTGGTGGTGTTTAAAGACCCCTTTGAACACAATTCAGCTACTGTGGTTTTCTGTTGATAGTAACTGTTTGGTAACAGAGACCTCTACAGAGTAACAGAAGGTCACACTCACCTGAGTTACCAGAGCCCCCACTTGAGAACAGGCTGCCTGCTCTGTGAGCAGAAAGTTGGAGTTAACCCAGCATAACCCAATGCTGTCCATTAGGTGCGGGAGCTCGAGGCGGAGCTGGAGGACGAGAGGAAACAGCGGGCGCTTGCTGTGGCTTCAAAGAAAAAGATGGAGATAGACCTGAAGGACCTCGAAGCCCAAATCGAGGCTGCGAACAAAGCTCGGGATGAGGTGATTAAGCAGCTCCGCAAGCTCCAGGTAGGTGCCACCGCCCATGGAGTCTCTGGATGGCATCACGTGGTCCCACTGAGATCCAGCACCACGTGACCTGTGTGGCTTCTAGAGAGTCCAGCAGTGAAGCTGGCGGGGACAGCACTGCAGTACCACCCTGGGGCCACAGCACCACTGTCACCCACCCTAGGGGCATAGCACTGTGTCAGCGCAGCCGGGGGCGGGGCAGCAGGCCATGAAGACGCTGCTTGTGTGTCCGCTGTGTCCACGGGAGATACTTGAATGCACTTAGCAACTCAGCTGGGGTGGAGGCACCACGCAGGGTTCCTGTGGCCCTGAGAGCCTGTGGCGATGCTTAAAACCCACCCTTCCTCACCTCAAGAGGAGGGTCATGTCGACCCAGGCCCTTAGTGCTGTAGCTTTTGTGATCTTTTCGGTCTGTTTTTAATCATCACTTTTTCTACCCAGATGATGGGCCAGTTTTTACTACCACAATGACGAGGTGATCTCTGCAAGAGTTCACGGTGTGAGCAGGCAGGCAGTGGCCTCACCCATAGTACAGATGGGAGCTACTTCTCAGGGGAGCCGCTCCGTTATGACGAGAACTTTTCCTTTGACCTTGTTGATACCACATCTTGAAAATTTATTTTAACAAAATATAAAGAAGAAATTTTTATGTACAAAGATCTTTAGCTAAAGTGTTATTATTTAGGATAGGAGAAATGGAAACCCCCTAAATGTTAATGGACTGCTAACCATCTAAGTGATGGGGTGTGTGGGGAACAATGGCCGGAATTAAATGAATAGAGGAAAATACAGTGTAGGGTGGTTTAGCTTGTAACTCTACACAAATGTGTGTATACATTTTCACATACAGACATGCAGGCAGACATACTTACCTAGAAACAAGTTTGGAAGGAAAGTCATGTCTGGATAATAGGTTGGTAGGAACTTGTTTTCATATACTTTTTTTTTTTTTGGAAACCAAAAAAAAAAGGTTTTTTTTTTTTTTTTTTAAGAGAGAGAGTCTCACTCTGCCATCCAGGGTGGAGTACAGTGGTGCAGTCATGGCTCACTGCAGCCTGGGCTCAAGATTTTTATTAGCTAATTACAAAAGTTATTAAGCTAATTAATTACAAAGAATATAAATTATAATACTGTGATTTTATTTAACAGCTTTATTGAAATATAGCTTACATACCATACAATTCACCAATTTAGCATTTTCAATGTTTTTTAGTTTATTCGTAGACTTATTCAGCCACCACCACTATCAAATTTGGGGCATTTTGGTCCCTCCTAAAAATCCTCTACCCATTAGCTGTCATTCCCCATTCCCTGTATCCCTGCTGCATTCTGCATTAATCAACTACTAATCTTTCAGTCTCTATAGATTTGCCTTTGTTTCATATTTCATATCAGTGGAATCATACAATATGTGGCCTTTTGTGACTGGTTTTCCACTTAGCATAATGTTTTCAAAGTTCATCCATGTAGCAGCATGAATAAGTACCGCACTCCTTTTTATTACTAACACTCTACTGTGTGGATACATCTACCACATTTTATTCATCTATCCCTGAGTTGGACATTTGGGTGTTTCCAGTTTTTGACTTCTGAATAATGCCTCTATGAACATTCATATGCATTTGTGTGGACATGTGCTTTCAGTTTTCTCAGAAATATACCTAGGAGTAGAACTGATCTGGGGTAAATGCTACCTCTGTGTTTAACTTTGAGGAACTGCCAAACTGTTTCCCACAGTGACTGCAGTTTTACATTCCCACCAGCTATCTGTGAGGGTTCAAATTTCTCCACATCTTGTCAACACTTGTTATTGTCCATCTTTTGATTGTAACCATCTTAGTGGGTGTGAAGTGACATTTCATTGTGGCTTTTATTTTTATTTCTCTAATGACTACTAATGAGATTGAACAGCTGAGCTATCTTTTAATTACTGAGTTGAAACAATTCTGTATTCTGGATATAAATTCTTTATGAGATAAATGATTTCCACACCTACCTTAGCTTACTAATTTCTGCCACCCAAAAAAAAAAAAAAAAGCCAGCTTGGGTTTTGATAGTTTATTGTGTTGATGTGTAGATCAATTTGGAGAGTATTGCTATTTTAACAATAGTAAGTCGTCTGGTCTATGAACATGGATAATCTTTCCTTTTATTTAGATCTTTTTTATTTTTTTCAGTGACATTTTGTAGTTCTTGGTATACAAGTCTTTCACTTCTTTTGTTAAGTTTATATCTAAGTTTGTATTCTTTTGATTCTATTATAAATGTAATTGCTTTCTTTTGAATGTTTATAGTTGGTGTATAGAAATATAATTGATGTTTGTATGTTGATCTTGTATTCTGCAATCTTGCTGAACTCATCTATTAGTTCTTGTGGGCTTTTTCTTTTATTGTCCATATTACCAGCAGTTCTAATTCTTTTTGTGTCTTTCTTAAGCCTGTCTATATACAAGATCAGATCATCTGCAAATTGAACTAGTTTTACTTCTTCCTTTCCAGTCTAGATATCTTTTATTTCTTTGTCTTGCCTAATTAATTACCCTGGCTGGAATCTCTGTTGCAGTGTTAAATAGAAGTGGCAGGATCAGACCTCTTTGTCTTGTTTCTCATCTTTTAGAGGGAAAGCATTCAGTCATTGATCCTTAAGTATGATATTGGCTGTCAGTTTTTCATTGATGCCTTTAATCAGAATTGAAGAAATTTCCTTCTGTTCATAGCTTGAGTATTTTTATATTGAAAGGGTATTAGATTTTGTCAAGTGCGTCTTCAGCATTTATTGTGATGATTATATGGTTACATTAATTCATTTTTGGTTGTCAGATCAACCTTGCATTCCTCAGATGGATCCCACTTGGTCATGGTATATAATCGTTTTCACATGTTGCCAGACTCAGTTTGCTACTATTTTGTTGAAGATTTTTGCATTTGTATTCATAACGGATTTCATTTTGATCTGTAGTTTTCTTATGATATCCTTGTCATTTCCATATACTTTTATATTTACAATGAAAGTATATTACTTTTATAATCTAGAAAAAAAAAATATCATGTTTACAAGCTGAGAATGGGGCCAGGCACAGTGACTCACACCTGTAATCAGGAGGAATGCTTGAGGCCTTGAGTTTGACACCAGCCTGGACAACATAACCAGGGGTCATCTCTAAAAAAAATTTAACTAAAACTAAGAATGTAAACCACCCCAAAACCTTCTTATTAATAGGCTCAGATGAAGGATTACCAACGTGAATTAGAAGAAGCTCGTGCATCCAGAGATGAGATTTTTGCTCAATCCAAAGAGAGTGAAAAGAAATTGAAGAGTCTGGAAGCAGAGATCCTTCAATTGCAGGAGGTTGGTTTGTTATTTATTCATCCATTTGTTCAACAAATATATTTGCCCTTGAAATTACTCCAAGATCAAAAACAATTTTAATATCTTTGTAGCCCACTGTAATGTCAGTATACATTTTTGTTTTATTTTTGTTTGTTTAAGTCTCCAGTTTTAATATGGCCCTCAACCTTCTTGTTACTTCAGTTTGGAAACAGAAAATGATCACTTCGACACTGCTCATATATATTCCTCCACCTGGCTAAAGGCAAAGAAGCTGATGAGCAGCTTTTCAAGCCACCTCTTGGCCTGTTCCCCTGTGCAGGAAAGGGAAGTGATACTTTAGTGTTGATATGCAGCAAGTACTGTGTAACTCCAACCTTGGTGATGCAAAATTGCCTTGTTTTTACACAGAAGCACTATTCATGTGATAACTTAAAAGGAGAGAAGTTTGTTTCATTGAATTCCTATTATTCCTTCATTTATCTTTTTTGTAGGTTCTCATGAGGCAGAGACTGATAAAGTGTTGCATATAGGAATTGTAACAGTGCAAGGCACACTTAAATACACACATTACCGTATAAATGAGGGATAATCAAAATTTCTTCAAACCTGAAAAGATAATATCATCAGTTAATATGAAAAAACTCCCAATACAAATACCTACAAATATTGGATAAAATATTAGCAAAGGCAGAGTTGAGCTTGCAAGAAAGGAGGATGGCGCTCTCGGTGTCAGGAATGAACAAGGAACTGAAAACCAGATGAGTAAAAACCAAGCAGACCCTGAGAGAGGACTGAGAGCCAGCTTCCGGAGGTTTTCATCCCGCTGTCCTCTAGCTCACCGTTTTTTGCTCCTTGTTTCTTTTTGACTTCTTGAGTTGGACACTTAGCTCATGAGCTTTCAAGCTTCTTGTCTAATATGTTTATAAAAGACTGTAAATTCCCCTCTAAGATCTGTTTTCATCATGTCCCACAGATTTTGATGTGGAGTAATTTCATTGTCATGTAATTCTAAATTTTTCTAATTTCTATTATGGTTTCTTCTTCATCCCGTGAAGAATTTAAGCTTGCGGTTTAAATTTCCAAATGTCTGGCATTTGCTTGTTTTTTAAGTTGCTTTCTAGTTTTATCACATTGTGGTCAGAGAATGTTGAGAAGGGCTCTGGGACCTAGAACATGTTAGTTTTCGTAAGTGTTCCGTGTGTACTTACAAACGATGCGTGTTCATCAGTGAAGCAGATGTGTAAGCTCTATGTATCCATCATGGAGCTGATTGGTGAGATCCCCACATGCGCATTTCCCCAAAGGCAATGTGGCTCTTGGAGCCTGCCTCCTAGAGAGCGCTCCTGGGCCATTACCCAGATGTCCAAGCGGCATTCTCTGTACCATACTGTTTTTTCTGAAAGCGTTTCTTTCAGACTCTCAAGCAAGGCCTGAATCACACTGCATTAAGGAGAAGAGACTGAGCTGGAAAGCTGGCCCTGCCCTTCCCCCTATTTCTGACACTTTTCCTTCAAACACCTCTGTTAATCTGGCTTAGAGGCCCCAGGGTCCCTTCCTTTCTCCCCTGGGTCCCTCAGTCTGCCCAGAGCTCCCCCACCGCCCCCCCAGCCAGTGGACAGTGAGTGTTTCATAGGCCCAACAGGACAAAACACCAGAGGCCAGATGGCAGAGCTGTCTGGAGTCAGTGGCCCTGGGATCAGGCCTGGAACATTCTGTCTGCTGCCTCTTTTTCCTTCCTGACTCCCACCGTGCCCTGTGTGCTAGGATGTGCTAGAACCCGGGCCTGTCAGAGGCCTTCGGCCCACACTCGTAAGGCAGGTGCATGTGTCGGAGCAGACAGAGGCGCTGCCGTGCAGCCCTGCTCCTAAGACACCTTCAAGGTGTGCTCTTGCCAGCTGCGGCATCTTTTGGAAGGGGCAGCTGGTGGGAAGAGCCCTGGACGGGGAGTCGGAACCCTGACTTTTTGCTGCTGACTAACCTTGGGACTTTGGGCCAGTATCTTCATCCAGATGGGCCTCAGCTCCCTTATTTATAAGATAAATGCACCATTGACTCCTTTCTATGGCAAATCATCTTTCCAAAGAAGTTTGTGGAAAAGCAGCCATCAGGCAGTTCCTTCCGTGGGCTGGCAGGCACAGGGCTGTCCCCATTGTCCTGCCCAGTCCTCTGAGAGCCCCCCGTGGAGCCACAGTCCCCTTCAAGAAAGAGGCCTTGCCCACCTCAGGCCCAGCTCTGCAAACACTTGAGCCCCTGCGGAGGCGCCCCCCTGCCTCCTTCCCATGGGAGCGTTGGTCCTTGTTGCTGCACAGCTGCCTGGATCCGCACTGGTCTGTGCAGCCAGCATCCTTGATCTCACACTGTTTATGTGAAAGATACTTCAGGATCATCAGTTGGTACAGCTCAGGTTTCTTACGGTTCAGGGTTTGTATAAAGTTTGTGCTCAGTTTATATTAAGAGGCATCAGTTTTCCAAGAAGGGCAGGAACATAGGCACCTCTTACGCTGGAGGTGACAGCAAAGCCCTTATGGCAATGAAGACTTCCCTCTGGACGTTTTCGTGTAAGATGCTGACACCACACACCACCTGGCTGGTCTGCACCGAGCAGATTTTCGCCAGTTTAATTTCTCAAATATAAATGACAGTTGGAGGTGCAGGTTAACAGTGACAGGAACAAGGTCGCTGTAGCTTCAGGCACTGTCAGATTCCACAGGTGAGGAAACTGTTCACAGCCAGAGCTTAACGCAGTCTCCACTGCCCACTGCTTAGGAACTTGCCTCGTCTGAGCGAGCCCGCCGACACGCCGAGCAGGAGCGGGACGAACTGGCGGACGAGATCGCCAACAGCGCCTCTGGCAAGTGAGTCTCCCGTGGTCGGGGCGGGTTCTTCGCCCTCAGGCACACACACTGCTGAGAAGGCTGGAGGTGTCCACGCACCTGGTATCAGCAGGTGGTTTGCTCCTCTCTCGCTGGGCCTGGGCTGCCTCAGCCATCATACCCCGGGGCCAGTCCTGCTGAGCCCCACACACCACAAACGGGAGCCGTGGTGCGCACTAACGGGCACTGCGGGCCTCCACTTTCCAGTTCCTTAGCTTTGGAGAGCAGGTTCCTCAGACATGACCTTTCTCTGAATTCATTTTTCGTTAAAAGTCATTATCTTTTTTTCCCAATTCAGTTGATTTCTCTACTTAATTACTGAACCAGAGGTTCATCATGTGCCTTTGTGAGCATGCCATCATGAGTAGAATTTATTCTCAGAGATTAGAAACCACTGAAGAGTTTCAGCGGGGGGAGGCTGGGGTCGTGCTTGCGTTTTGTAAGTGACTCTGGCTGCTGTCTGTGGAGAACAGCTGGAGAGAGGCAGGCAGGGCAGCGGAGGCCCCCCCAGCGGTCCAGGTGAGAGATCACAGGCCTGCATCTGGGTGGTGGCAGTGGGGGAGGGTGTTTGGAAGTGTCATCAGTGGGACCTACTGATGGATTCGGGGATGGCTGCTCAGGTTTCCAGCAACAGGGTGGGTGGAGGAGCCTTGCCTGAGGCTCCCATGCTGTGCTGAGCTGGGATTGAACTGTCCCCTCCTCCTCTCCCCACCAGGTCCGCGCTGCTGGATGAGAAGCGGCGTCTGGAGGCTCGGATCGCACAGCTGGAGGAGGAGCTGGAAGAGGAGCAGAGCAACATGGAGCTGCTCAACGACCGCTTCCGCAAGACCACTCTACAGGTGGCCCACGCAGGAGCCCGCCACCCGGGGAGGGCTGTGCCACTCCTCAGGCACAAGTGACCATAAACTCCTCTCTCCTCTCTAGGTGGACACGCTGAACGCCGAGCTAGCAGCCGAGCGCAGCGCCGCCCAGAAGAGCGACAACGCGCGCCAGCAGCTGGAGCGGCAGAACAAGGAGCTGAAGGCCAAGCTGCAGGAGCTCGAGGGTGCGGTCAAGTCCAAGTTCAAGGCCACCATCTCTGCCCTGGAGGCCAAGATTGGGCAGCTCGAGGAGCAGCTTGAGCAGGAAGCCAAGTAAGAGGTTTTTGCTGTCATAAACCAACACTTACCAACCAGGCTCAGTCAGAGACAAAACAGACACGCCCCTTTCGGGAGGGGCTCCCCACTGCGTGGGCGGAGAACACAGATAACCAGAGTGGGAGACAGAAGTTGGTGTGAGCTGTGAGAGGAGAGCTGTGAGCGTTCAGAGGCTGGGAGGACAAACGGCCTCTGTGAACAGTCAGGGAAGGCTGGGCTTTAGGACTCAGCTCAGGGCTCACCACACGTGCACCCCCTGATTTCCTAGGCACCCTGAGTTTGCATCTCCTACCCAGAGTCGATTTCCCAAGCGTGTGGCATCCCATGAAGCGCTAGTTTGCGGCCAGAGAACAAATGCAGTATGACAGAAATCAAAGCCTTTCTTCTCCCATAGGAAAAGATTGCTTAACAGCTTTCATGTTGTATTAAAGCATGAGAAATTGTACAGCACAGCTGCTGGCAGGCAAGCGTTTACAAAGCTATGAGGTCATAGTCCCCAGAGCCAGGGTAGACCTTCAGATTCACCCTCTTGTTGGGGAGCGTGGAGCCCAGAAATGCAGGGCTCATGGCCAGAACGCCTGCATCCTCCCCAGTCCCCCGTCCCAGGACTCCCCACTCCACTCTTGGACTCCAGTGGGCTGAATCAAACAGTTAAGGGTTTGTTTCTGGTTGGAACGAACAGAACTCACCCTTTCGGCTGACTCCATCCCTATCCATTTTTGCGTATTTGTTAAGGAACGAAATAACTTTTTCTGTCTTCCACGGAGTCCTCCAAATAAGTTACCTCTCCTTCACATGGGACGATGTAGCCCTATCTAGAAACATGGATTTGTTTCACCTCTAACCAAAGAGGGAGTGTAGGGGGTTTGTTTTTTGTTTTTTCAATGTGAGCTGCCAAAGCCCTACGTCATAGGAGGTAATCAGTAAATTCTCAAGTGAAACAATCACTTAATAAATTGGGTTGTTTCTTAGGGGAAAAGTTTAGGTGATTAAGGATGGCATCTTCAAAAGTCTGTGTTCAGTATAACTGACAGGTAGCTTGTATGTAACATTTGCTGTTTAGAAGATCACTGTGTACAGGCCGGGCGCGGTGGCTCACGGCTGTAATCTCAGCACTTTGGGAGGCCAAGACAGACAGATCACCTGAGGTGAACAGTTCGAGACCAGCCTGGCCAACGTAGTAAAACCCCGTCTTTACTAAAAATACAAAAATTAGCCAGGCGTGGCAGCACGCACCTGTAGTCCCAGCTACACGGGAGGCTGAGGCAGGAGAATCGCTTGAACCCGGGAGGCGGAGGTTGCAGTGAGCAGAGATGGTGCCATTGCACTCCAGCCTGGGCGACAGAGCGAGACTCCGTCTCAAAAACACAAAAAGTAAGATAACTGAGTACAGTGATTAATACCTGTGTACAGTAAATTAATACCTACACATGCAGGAAAAATGTGCTTTTTCTACCTTTCGCTACTGAGGAATACACTAAAGGCAATTCCTGTTTTGACCAGAAGGAAAACGTCTCAGCACCACATTAGTCACGATATTCTGGGCAGAGAGGTCCATGATGCCTCCACTATGTGTCATCTTCCCAAAGAAAAAGGGTTTTAAAAAATATTTTTTCCCCACACAAAATATCATTTCAAGAATTTCAGAACTACTGTGACCACTTTCACAGGGAACGAGCAGCCGCCAACAAATTAGTCCGTCGCACTGAGAAGAAGCTGAAAGAAATCTTCATGCAGGTGGAGGATGAGCGTCGACACGCGGATCAGTATAAAGAGCAGGTACGTGCGGAAATGCCTCCCTGGGAAGCATGTGAGCAAAAGAACTGGTGGAGAACGCGCTGGTGGCACAACTGACCAGTGGAATTCAGGGGCCTCCCGATTCTGATGTTTCGGCTAACACGGGCTGTTCCATGTTCCTGGCGGGCACTCTCAGTACCCGAGACACAGGAGGGAGGGGACAGCAAGTTGCAGTGAGGCCTGGACTGAACTGTAAAGCTCCTGCTTTCTCCACTAGAATGTGCGCTTCGTGAGTACAGGGATTTCTGCCTATTTTGCTCCCTGTTATCTCCCTAATGCCTAGTGTAGTTCCTGGACATTGCTGGCAGTCATGAGGTACTGGCTGGGTGTAGGGTGGACCCAGGAGATAGTGAATAGAAAGTGAAGGGAAGACAGAGGTACTGCACGCTGCACCCGAGTGGCTTCGGTGTCTGCATCCAGGCCCCCTTCTCTAAGTGCGCAGGGAATGTTCCGCAGAACTTTTAACTGTGGGGCAGGCCTGCCCTGATGGCAGCGTGGGCAGCTGTACCCTCCCTCCCGCTCCCTGCCCTCTGCCTGGTGAGACTTCACACTGCAGACACTGGCCAGAAAGGTGGATGGATCTGAGGATTTCACTGCCTTTGGCCCGAACCCTCCCCAACTTCATTCACTCGGTCAAGCAACCTGGCCTTCCCTTCCCACCCCCACCCTTGGGGCCTAGCAACATGGAGAACAGTTGAGGGCAGTGTGCGCTGGGCCCCCGAGGCACTGGCCAGCCCCTGTGTGGCTCAGGAATGAAGGGTCCGAAAGGGAGGCTCTTAGTTCTGTGGCAGGTCATCCCAGGGTGCTTTTCTGCTTGAATCCGAGTATGAGATCTGAGATGCCCATCCTTGAAAGGAGGTGTAGAGATGCATCGTACAACCTCCCGGGCTTGGGGACTGTACCACATTGCTGGTTCTTCTGCATTTTGCAAGAATAGCAGTTCCCTTTCTAGGTCACGTGTGTGAAGATAGTAAACTCTGTCATTTTTCTGCAGAAAACTCACCAGTAAAAAACACCTTGAGTATTTTTTCGTTTTTTTGGCCTAGTGTGCTTTGTAGATGCTGGCTTTGCTGAGAGCGGCAGGCCGGTTACAGAGCCTCTGACCAGCCCCCAGGCATGTGTGTACATCCGTGTACACGCGTGCTCACAAGAGTAACAGGCAGAGCCCCGCACTGCCATGCTCGGGGTGCAGAGAGGCCGACACTGGACTCACCAGTTTGGTTTGTTCTGGTTCATGTACCCTCCCCAAGATGGAGAAGGCCAACGCTCGGATGAAGCAGCTTAAACGCCAGCTGGAGGAAGCAGAAGAAGAAGCGACGCGTGCCAACGCATCTCGGCGTAAACTCCAGCGGGAACTGGATGATGCCACCGAGGCCAACGAGGGCCTGAGCCGCGAGGTCAGCACCCTGAAGAACCGGCTGAGGTGAGCAGGCATGTGGCCCCGAGCTGACGGGCAGCTGCTTTGTGGGTTAGCTGAGGCTCGGGGCGTAGCTGGTTGGAGGAAGTTTACTTAGATCCATGCCCGGTGATCCATTCTTTCTCCTGAACCACTTCATTTAAGATTTCTGACCTTGATAGTCATCCTCGGGGAGAATAAAAGAGGAGCAAGCCCACTCATTGCCAGTCACTAGAGGACCACACTCATCCACCACACCAGGCTGGAGCTGCATCAGGCGTCCATCCCCGTCCAGACATCCAGTAGCGAGGCGAGCTCCCAGCCTCTGTTAAAAAGCAGGGCGGGGGGCCGGGCGCGGTGGCTCACGCCTGTAATCCCAGCACTTTGGGAGGCCGAGGCGGGTGGATCACAAGGTCAGGAGATCGAGACCATGGTGAAACCCCGTCTCTACTAAAAATAGAAAAAATTAGCCGGGCGCAGTGGTGGGCGCCTGTAGTCCCAGCTACTTGGGAGGCTGAGGCAGGAGAATGGCGTGAACCCGGGAGGCGGAGCTTGCAGTGAGCCGAGATTGCGCCACTGCACTCCAGCCTGGGCGACAGAGCAAGACTCCGTCTCAAAAAAAAAAAAAAAAAGCAGGGCAGGGGGCAGGAGCTCCTCCCGGGACCTGGTGCCATCAGCCCTCCTCATTACGGTCCTCCTCACTACACTGGATCTGCTGTGTACCAGGGCGAGGGCGGAGCGTGGGACAGCTACAGCTGAGGTCCCTGCCCCGCAAGACCAGCTCAGCCGAGGTTACAGCACGTCTGGCCGATGGGCAGATTTGGTGCATAACCTGCTTTTGTACAGCCATCAAGCTAAGAATGGTGTCTACATTTTTAAATGGTTATAAAAACACAAAAACAAAGAATATTCAACAGAGTCCCTAGGTGGCCCACAAATCCTCAATAAAATATTTGCTATCTGGCTGATTCCCTGGTTAGCAGGTAGAGCTTGGCCTTAATCCGTCTTCCTTACCATTTCCATCACAGACAGTCCTAGGCTGAACCGAGTCCTCCCCAGTTCTCCGAGGACCCTGCTCTGCCTACTCTGCAGGCAGGGTTGTGCGAGAGGCAGAAAGGCACACAGTCTTTTCCCATCGGACCGCCGCCCCCAACAAGGTCGTGTGTCCGAGGAAGGGGTGCAGGGGGAAGGTTCTGCGTCGCTGAGTGGTTTCACCTACTGACAGCCACGTGCTCCTGTCTGTTTACCCACACACATCCGCTTCCTGTTCTCTCCAGGCGGGGCGGCCCCATCAGCTTCTCCTCCAGCCGATCTGGCCGGCGCCAGCTGCACATTGAAGGAGCTTCCCTGGAGCTCTCCGACGACGACACGGAAAGTAAGACCAGTGATGTCAATGAGACGCAGCCACCCCAGTCAGAGTAAAGTCGCAGGAAGCCAGAGGAGGCGATACAGTGGGACACTTAGGAACGCACCGGTGCCAGCCTGCCTTGGGGCCTCCTGCAGATTTAGGAAATTGGCAAGCTACGGGATTCCTTCCTGAAAGATCAACTGTGTCTTAAGGCTCTCCAGCCTACGCATACTGTATCCCGCTTCAGACTTAGGTACAATTGCTCCCCTTTTTATATATAGACACACACAGGACACACATATTAAACAGATTGTTTCATCATTGCATCTATTTTCCATATAGTCATCAAGAGACCATTTTATAAAACACGGTAAGAACCCTTTTTAAACAAACTCCAGGCCCTTGGCTGCGGGTCGCTGGGTTATTGGGGCAGCGCCGTGGGCGTCGCTCAGTCGCTCTGCATGCTCTCTGTCGTACAGGCAGGTCACCTAGTTCTGTGTTCACGTGGCCCCCGACTCCTCAGCCACATCAAGTCTCCTAGACCATTGTGGACTCTAAACTGCACTTGTCTCTCTCATTTCTCTCAAATAATGATCAACACTATTTCAGTGAGCAAACTGTGAAAGGGGCTTTGGAAAGAGTAGGAGGGGTGGGCTGGATTGGAAGCAACACCCATTTGGGGTTACCATGCCCATCCCCCAAGGGGGGGCCCTGCCCCTCGAGTCGATGGTGTCCCGCATCTCCTCATGTGAACTGTCCTTGGCCAGGGCTGGTCTGTGCATAGAAGGGATAGTGGCCACACTGCAGCTCTGGCCCCAGGTGGCAGCCATGGATCACGTAGACTTCCAGATGGTCTCCCGAACCGCCTGGCTCAGCCGGTGCCCTCCTCACGTCAGGAGCAAGCAGCCGCGGACCCCTAAGCCGAGCTAGTGGAAGGCCCTCCCTCGCCAGCCAGGCCCTCACGCTGACCTTGCAAATTCAGCCGCTGCTTTGAGCCCAAAATGGGAATATTGGTTTTGTGTCCGAGGCTTGTTCCAAGTTTGTCAATGAGGTTTATGGAACCTCCAGAACATATGCCATCTTCCTGAATGTTGACATGCCAGTGGGTGTGACTCCTTCATTCTTCCTTCTCCCTTCCCTTTGGACAGTGTTACAGTGAACACTTAGCATCCTGTTTTTGGTTGATAGTTAAGCAAACTGACATTACGGAAAGTGCCTTAGACACTACAGTACTAAGACAATGTTGAATATATCATTCGCCTCTATAACAATTTAATGTATTCAGTTTTGACTGTGCTTCATATCATGTACCTCTCTAGTCAAAGTGGTATTACAAACATTCAGTGACAATGAATCAGTGTTAATTCTAAATCCTTGATCCTCTGCAATGTGCTTGAAAACACAAACCTTTTGGGTTAAAAGCTTTAACATCTGTTAGGAAGAATTTGTCCTGTGGGTTTGGAATCTTGGATTTCCCCCTTTATGAATTGTACTGGCTGTTGACCACCAGACACCTGACCGCAAATATCTTTTCTTGTATTCCCATATTTCTAGACAATGATTTTTGTAAGACAATAAATTTATTCATTATAGATATTTGCGCCTGCTCTGTTTACTTGGAGAAAAAAGCACCCGTGGAGAATAAAGAGACCTCAATAAACAAGAATAATCATGTGAACATGGAATCTGTTTTCTCACCTTCTGTTCTCGATTTCCCATCTGTGATGTGACTGGAGGGTGGGCGCCACACAGACTTCAAATGACGGCGCCAGGCCCTTTCGCCGAGGGCGCTGTCTCCCAGGTCAGACGACACAGTAATTCTCAGGCCAGTCCTGGCTCCAACTCTTGTTCCTGCCAGCGCCTGGCAGGGTGCAGATGCCCTGGAAAGGGAAAGACCACCCAAAGGCAGGGGCTGGCCTAGCTGTCAAGGGAGTGAGGTAGGAGGGCTCTGGTCACCAACCAATGAAGCTCACTGCTGGGTTAGGACATTTTCAGAGGTCCAAGACATTTCAGGCTGCATTTTCAGGCAGACACGTATTGAGGATGCTTTTGAAGGCTTCAGTGATGATGGGGCCACAGCCTCTCCCGTGCAGGCCAACTAGGATGAGAGAGATCCTAGGACGGTACAGAATCACACAGAGAATGCCCATTTCTTATTCCATGACATTCTCGGGTTAGGCTGGTTCCGGGGGTAAGGGGTCTGTGACTAGGCTTCTTGGCAGCAGTGGAAACGTGTGAAATGGGCAGAAGTGCCCTCTTCCTCCTGTGCCACCACCATGGGTGAGGAAAGGTGAGTCACAGGTGTGGTGCTTCACCCCCACATCCAGTATTTTATCCAAGAGTGTATGGAATTCAGAGGCTTGTTTTTCTCAAAAAGTAAGAACTCTGGGCTGGGCGCGGTGCTCAAGCCTATAATCCCAGCACTTTGGGAGGCCAATGGATCATTTGAGGTCAGAAGTTCAAATCGAGCCTGGCCAACGTGGTAAAACCCCATCTCTACTAAAAACACAAAAATTCGCCAGGTGTGGTGGTGTGCATCTGTAGTCCCAGCAACTTGAGGGGCTGAGGCATGAAAATTACTTGAACCTGGGAGGTGGAGGCTACAGTGAGCTGAGAGCACGCCACTGCACTCCAGCCTGGGCGACGGAGGGAGACACTGTCTCAAAAAAAAAAAATCTTCCCTACTGGCTGGTCTAACTGGTGTTCACGTCACAGTTTCCCAACTACTCAGCGTGCCAGAAAAACCACCTGTGTGGACCAATTCCAGGCCCTGGTGCTGCGAAGATACTATTTAATAACTAGAAGGGACCTTTCTTGACTGACCACACTCCAGGCCTAAGGAAAGGTAGTTTCTACAACCTTTGTCGGGCATTCAGAGCACAGGGAAGACAGCTGACGGCAGCTGGGCGCTGCGTGTATCAGAAGGTCAAGCTGGTCAGCTTCTGCACAGCAGCAGCGTGGTTCCCGGGGAGAGAACTCGCAAGACGGGAAAGGCTTGCTCTTTCGTTGGGCCTGAGTTTAGATGGCAGGAGGCGGTTCTGGGGCTTCATTTAGGGCTTTAAATGCTCTGTCCTTGCCATACCGTAGATGCCGTTTTTTTTGTTTTTTCTTTAATGCAGCCATTCCAGGGGACTATTTTAAACTGCTTTGGAGGGATGACAACTTTTTTTTTTTTTTTTTCCTGAGACAGAGTCTCGCTCTGTCTCCCAGGCTGGAGCACAGTGGCACGATCTCAGTTCACTTCAACCTCCACCTCGGGGTTCAAGTCATTCTCTGCCTCAGCCTCCCGAGTAGCTGGGATTACAGGTGCCCGACACCAGGCCTGGCTAATTTTTGTTTTCTTTTTTGGGGTTTTTTTTTTTTTTTTTTTTCTGTAGAAACGGGATTTCACCATGTTGGACAGGCTGGTTTTGAAGTCCTGGCCTCAAGTGATCTGCCTGCCTTGGCCTCCCTCCCAAAGTGCTGGGATTACAGGTGTGAGCCACCATACCCAGCCGATAACACCTATTTCCAGCCTGGTGGCTTGAGGGGACACTTCCAATTCCTGATAGCATCAGCCTATAGATTCGTCACATCTTTGTGTCACCAATTTTTCCTGTCCCAGGAAACCTCGGCTAAGATGAATTGTGGGCTGTAAGGCCAAGCTGTTCTCCTAGCCAGCCCTTCCTACGGCTCTGGGTATGACTGACCCATGGCCCTTTTCCCGGAGGCTGGTGCTGCTGAGAGACCAGGTCAAGACTGGAGAAGACCTCACTGTTGTCAAACCACACCTTCCTTCTCTTCCTTCATCCCCCCAAAAAAGAAAAAAGCCAGAACAGGCTCCAGGCCGGAACGGTCAGGAAGTGGCGATGACTCCTCTCCCTCCAGTTCCAGGAAGGTCTCCCCTTACGAGGCCCCACCCACACAGGCTTCCCAGTCTCTGGGAGGAACGCAAGAAAGCACCTCTCCCTTTCCACCTTTCGCGGACAACCTCCGCACCAAGAGCTTTCCCAGATTTTGAGTGTTTGCCAAAATGCCGTCCTGAGCCAGCTGTCAGGACCAGACAGAGAAGCCCACTTCCTTCTGTAGGCACCTGCCATTTGGGAATCAAGCAGACTGCGAAGCACCCATTCTTGTTGGGAAACTTATATGAAGCTACTGAAAGGGTGTAAGTCCATCATACAGCTTTTCAGAGACACTCACTGTAGCTACAGAGCCTGTAAACTGGGCAGAAAGCGTGGCCTCAGCCTCAGTCCCTGCTGAGACGAGCAGCCCAGTAACCGGCTCCATTCCGGCTGACTGGATGCCACAAAGCCCTATTTAAGAGGTAACGTGACATAATCGATAAACTGGGTCTCACAGATCCCCATGCAGAGCGCTGCCTCTCCCAAGTATGTGCCATACTGCACCGGTGCCGAGGCACCCTGGCTTCACGTGGGCCACATCTCCCGTGTCTCACAATCACTGTCAGGAGGCAGCAGCTGCGATGGTGTCATTGCCCGACTCCTGGCGAGATCAATAAAGCCCAGCAGCAAAATTTGCAGAACGGGAAATACAAAATTAGGCGGGCGTGGTGGCGCGCGCCTGTAATCCCAGCTACTTGGGAGACTGAGGCAGGAGAATTGCTTGAATCCGGGAGGCGGAGGTTGCAGTGAGCCAAGATCACGCCATTGCACTCCAGCCTGGGCAACAAGAGTGAAAATCCGTCTCCAGAGGAAAAAAAAAACTTGCAGAATGAGCATCAGCAGCTTAGAAGGAAATTCTGGAGCCGCACTGGAATCTGCTTTTCAGGAACGCTGTATCACCAACACACACCATGAGACAGCGCACAACACTGTTACAGTCGGGGAGGGGGCAGAGCTGGCTACAGGGCGCTCCCTAAAGCTGTGGCTCCACGCAGGGTGCCTCCCCTCTCCCAGAAGTGCCAGCTTCCACCTTGGCTCTCAGGAGACCCGCACTAGTGGCATCTCTGGGGCAGCTGCCGAGAGGCGGAGTCAGCACGCGCAGCGGGCACAGGAGGAAGGCTACGTGAACCGACTCCTCCTGCTGCAAAGGCTGTGCCAGCCCCGCCACCCGTCACTTCCAAGCCTTCAAAACCTGCTCCTCTCCTGAGGCATGGCACAGAGAGTGGGAGTCAAGGCCACTGAGGCCTCGTTTGGAAAGGCACCGCAGCAAAAGACTGGGCTCGTGCCCAAGCCTGGCCTCACGATGAATTAGCCGTGCAAGCTCAGGCACCTCAAACCCAGGCCCATTGTCCTTTCTGCCACCTGAGGTCAGAGCACTGTGTCCTGTCCTCAGGTCACCTCTGTACAGTTCTCGCGGGCCTCACTGTGACTCAGCGTCCCAGCTTTGGCTCCTGGGTCTCAGCTGCATTGGTCAGGGGTCATTTCTGGCCACTCTGGGCTGGAGGAAGTGGAGTGCTGGCTACGACTCTCTTCTAAGACGACATTTGGGAGTGAGGGATAGGACTGAGCGGCTGAGAAAACACCTGGACGCGAGAGACTGCCCGCCACCCAGGAGATGAGCCCCACCAGCAGGGAGGAAGGGCACACGGACGCAGCTCAAGCAGGGCTCGCTCCCGAGTTTCATGGAGAGCCACGCGAAACCAGATACCCGGCAGCCCCAGGAAGAAACCCCACCCAGGGGCACTCTTTAGCTAGACAGGCAAACAGTACAGAGCGGCATTCACGCCAGGTGGCAGCTGCTCTCTCTGACCGTGTCCAAAGTAGCACCTGACACCCCACAGTCCAAACAAAGAAGGAGATGAGGTCCAGGGAGTCGGCTGGTTTCCTCATAGGGGGTCATTTGCCAAGAGCTGCTATAGCCACAAAAAAAATGTCACTAAGGCCGGCCACGGTGGCTCACACCTGTAATCCCAGAACTTTGGGAGGCTGAGGTGGGTGGACTACCTGAGGTCAAGAGTTCAAGACCAGCCTGAACAACGTGTTGAAACCCAGCTTCTACTAAAAATACAACAACAACAACAACAACAAATTTAGCCGGGCATGGCGGCGGGCACCTGTAATCCCAGCTACTTAGGAGGCTGAGGCAGGAGAATCGCTGGAACCTGGGAGGTGGAGGTTGCGGTGAGCCGAGATCACACCACTGCACTCCAGCCTGGGTGACAGCGAGACTCCATCTCAAAAAACAAACCAAAAAAAGTCATTGAAGTTGGTATATAACTCCCCACTGCTAAATCAGACTGGCTAAGAAAATTTTTTTTAATTTTTAAAGTGAAAATCTCTTCCCAAAGGGACCAGAAATAAGCCCAAAGGCACACTGCTACCCTCCAGGGACCTGGCCCAGGCTCTTCTGGACACAAAGCGGTGGTGACATGCAGTGGATGACACGTGGGCCCCTGTGGGCCCCTGTAGCCTGGGCCCTTCCTCCAGATATCAACTGAGTGGCCAGCAATTGGCAAAACAGTCTGGATAAGATGAGCCCAGGGTGGGGCCGGGCGCGGTGGCTTACACCTGTAATCCCAGCACTTTGGGATGCCGAGGTGGGTGGATCGCGAGGTCAGGGGTTCGAGACCAGCCTGACCAACATGCTGAAACCCCGTCTCTACTAAAAATACAAAAATTAGCTGGGTGTGGTGGCAGGCGCCTGTAATCCCAGCTACTCAGGAGGCTGAGGCAGGAGAATTGCTTGAACCCGGAACGCGGAGGTTGCAGTGAGCGGAGATCA